TCGACGCTCTACTGTATATCGTATATTATCGTTAATTAGGTTTTTTAAATTTCTCCCCCCTCGGCCCCTACATATTTACAGTAAAATTTCCTTACTGTCAGGAAATTTTACTGTCCAGTACTGTACTGATTTACTGTCCCTTTACTGTTAATTTCGACACGGAATGGATTCGTTAATCAATTTTGAACTTATGATTTTCAAATGTATCTTGTAAAAAATAAAATTACTGTGTTTACTTACTATCGTGGGCTCACTCTAGCCTTAATGAAGGTGATCACGTGATGAGGTTCCAGGCTCGCCAATAACCCTTCAGCCATCTAACTAGAGTACCTATATTATCAGAGAAGGGACAATGGGTTGTCAAATGGGTTGTCTACTGGTTACCTGCATCACGTGGTTAAAATCTGCCATGTTCTGACAAAAAGTGCGCGTCTCTGTATATTTCGAATGGTAAGTGTTCTATAAAGTCGTTTATAAAGAAATCTAGAAGTTTTTGAACACATTTGAAACAGCTAGGCATAAATTTGCTATATTTTTATGTTTACGTTCATATTTAAGCTTTAATATAAGGCAACAAATAAAAAAATAGTTAGCGTGGTTCTTTACATTAGATCTGATATCCGCTTAAGCGTTATTATTAAAACGAAAAAATATATATAAACTGTTTGTATTTTACAAAATGAAGTACAAAAATTAGTATAAGATAACAAAATATAACCAAAATTTAATTTTCTACCAATTTTTCCGAAATTATTGCTCCTTAGAAAAGCGTCCAGACACGAAGAATTTGTGTGTTTAATGAACTTTTTGTGTTTAACTAAGCATAAATTGTTATATTTTGCATGTTTCTTTTGCTAGAATAACTTAAAAGTGAGTGTTCCAGCGAATGAAGCTTATCTGACTGGAGTACTGTAATAACCATGTTGTACTGTAGTTTTGTTCTAACATAATAAATTATACAGATGAAAGAGAAATACTTACAAAGCTTAAACATATAAAAATATTGCTATAGAAAAGTATTATTTATAATAAAATTAAAGTGAATGGTTGTCTCTTTAATCCGAAAATATTTCTCTCGGTAGACTATCTTACAGCAAGTCAGGTCAATAAACTCTTTTATTGACTTGACTTGCTGTAAGATAGTCTACCGAGAGAAATATTTTCGGATTAAAGAGACAACCATTCACTGAACGAATATACAGCTACAATTAGTAAATTCAACAATAAAATTAAACATTTACATGTACTGTAGTACCTAAAAAAGTAGTTTATTATCCTGCTCAAAACAAATTTAATTCTATTACTTGTAAGAATTCTTTAATACATCTTGTACAATAACAATACAAAGACACACTAGTACTTTGGAGCTTATTGAAAGGCAACATTTGCAGCATTTATTTGTTAATATTTGATTATTTTAAATATAATTTGTAAAGCTAATACAATTTAGAAAGCATATAAAAATTCATTATACAAATGATTCTTTTACATACTAGTACTTTTATACTGTATTGTTACAGTGGAACCTCGCTTAACGAGCACCTCGCATAACAAGCAAATCATTTTTAAATGACTCTCTTAACGAGCGAAGTTTCGCATAACCAGTGACAAGGAGAGGGAAAGTCCCGGATTGTGCGCATGCTCCATATTACTATTATCTGTGATGTTTTGTTTTCTGCAAATGGAATTTGCATTCCAGATTGGTTCATTCCATGCTAGAAGAAAAGATGATTATTCACGCTCCTTGACAATGTATATTGTATAATTTTCTTTGAATAAACATTATACGTAAAATATCGAATTTACTCGCGTATAAGACGATCTTGCATACAGGACAAGGTGTGACTTGAAAGATCAAAATAAAAAAAATTAGATTTATTAATACAGTTCTAATTTTATTTCGTTTAATCACAAATAAATTATCATCAAATGCACGTATTAAGGCAAACAACCATGTTTTCTTGATGCTATCATCTTTTCTCTACTCGGACTCGCCCTCGGAAGCTTCGTTACAAATTCTCCTCTTTTTCACTTTTACGCCACAAAGCATCGTCCTCTGATCCGTCGAATGAATTTATAAAATGCAGTATTTCCTGAATGACTATCAGTTTTTCAAACTTTTGAATTGATTTTCCACGCACCTGGTACCCATGTAGCAAAACCAAAAGATTATAATACAGTTGACAAGAAAATGTTTATTTTTAATGATTCAGAATGTACCATGAAAATTCATTAAAAATACCGATTTAACAAATATGAAATAACTACATTTATAATCATTTCTAAGTGACTAGCTATTTTCGGATCATCTCTAAAAGCGACATTCACTTTGACCTCGATAGCACTCTACTATAATAGCAGCATGAACTATACGCGGTTCACAAAAATTATTGCAAAAATGCAAAGGATCCTTCGCTCGCGCATATAAGACTAACTAGGTTTTTGAAGCAGTAAAAAATGAATAAAAACCTCGTCTTATACGCAAGTAAATATGCTATTTGAGTATTTTTTCGGCATGGAACGCATTATATTTTACATTAATTTCTTTGAGAAAATTTGTTTCGCTAAACGAGTGTTTCGCATTACGAGTAAGCTTCTGGAACGAATTATGTTCATTAAGCGAGGTTTCGCCGTATTCTGCTGAATGCATTAAAAGTGTCTTAAAAGTCATTTTGAATCCAGTTTTAGAATATACCCTTTAATTTTATTATACAGATATCACTGAAATAATGCCTGTATATTCAGCTTTTGGTTGTTCTAATTCTTCTGTAAAAGGATGTATTGTGAAATGGTTTCAAGAGATCCTGTTCGGAGAAAAATTTGGGATAAAAAAGTGCGCCGAGAAAATTGGAAACCTACAAATAATTCTCGTTTGTGTGAAGTTCAAATTGAACCACGAATGTGGGAAAAAGTGAAACTTGATGGGAAGAAGAAATTAAAGCATAATGCCATTCCAACTTTGTTTTCATTCATAAAACAAATTATTCACAGAAAACCACCAAAAGGAAGATCTTCGACTGTTATAAAACAAGTAAAAACTGCAAGTTACTTCTTCAGTACTGTAAATACTACTACTGTTACACCATCAACAAATCTTGAAATACCTTCAACATTTATAGACGTTTAAGAACTCCAGTTTAAGAACAATTTAAAATTAATTTCAGTATCTCAATATTTAAAAAATGTGTCAAAAGGGAGTTATGATGATGATGATGATGATGATGATGATGATGATGATGATGATGATGATGATGATGATGACAGAGAGTTTTTATCAAAATTTCTTGATGCAATAAAAGAACCCATAAAAGAATATGATAAAGTTGTTATACTAGAATATTTTGAAGCTAAAAATATGCCTCTAAACAATGCAGAAATGAACTCATTACATAATATATCCGGTTATTTAATAACAAGTATAAATCAAACCTCAAAAATCTGTAACAAATGTATTACATCAATAGGATCCAAAGAAAGTCCTCTATTAGAAAATTCAAAATTAGTTAAAATTAAAAATTTTTTTAAAAATTCCATGTTTTTTGTAATAATAAAAGTTTTGATATGTTTTTAATATGGAAGATATTTTCCACCAATATTATAATGTGGTGGAAAATCAAAACATTGATATAATAAAATTGTATTTGGAAAACTTTAACAAATATATTGAAATATAAAAAAATGACCATATTCCAGATTGCCATAAATTAAAAGAAAACATTATGACAAGATTGATATCTTTCATGTTCAAAATAAAAAGCAAAAGAGATATTAAAAAGTTAACAAATCCATATGCAAGTAAATTCATAAGTAAGGTACAAAATTAGCCATATTCTATCCCCATATTCTCCAACACTACTTTGATTATTGATGTAATAACATATTGACCTGTTACAAATAAAAATGTAATGTTCATTTACCAGTAATAAATTTTTATATTTTATCTGCATAGCCTTTTGGTCTTGAAACGCTTTATTACTATGAACTTGTGTAATTATTAAGTTACTTTTTATAATACAATAATGCAATATAGATACAAATGTGATCAGTTTTATTTGGTTGATTATTATATTAAAGTACTTCAATATAATAGCCTTAATGTTAAAAGTTTTACGTAGTGAAATAAAAAAACTAACAAAGAAAAGAAACACATCTTTACCCCAGCGAGTGTAAGAAGAAACTACCGTAACTTTATTTTATTTAAAGAAAAAAAATGGATAGTTTTTACAGTATAAAAACGGGACGTTAAATAAAAATACAAAAACTATTAATAATAAAACCCTTAAAAGCTTTGCCGGGAGAGAGAAGAGTTACGTCAGGACAACACCCAGCTTTACCTTTGCATGTTGCAAAAGCACGCGTACGTTATATATTCCAACATTAAATCCTGTCAAATTAGTAAACACAGTAGTAGTTTTGACAAGCCGAGTATCTATTTCATTAATTACAGACTGATTTCTTACGTTTGCTTTAAAATAACGTTTGGACTTTCGATCGAGAAGTTTTTCTAATAAGTAAACAAAATTAATTTTTTTATTTAAAAATACTAATGCTAGAGATTTAAAACTTATCGAACTTGTAAGATTCATCTATCCGTCATATTCTTGAATAAAAAACGAATAATATGCTTTTTTAAACTGAAATAATCGTCATTTCTTACTGTAAACCCATAGGCTACATGATGACAATCGACAAAACATGGTGGCGATGACTCGTGTGTCGCTACTCTAATAATCTACATCTAATCATCTGTTAACTTATTTTAAAATATTAATGAATCCATACTTTATTAAATAATTTATTCAAAATTTCTGAATTTTTAATCACAAATTATCTTCTTAAATTAAATAAACTATTCCACGTTATTCAAACACGATGATGCTGCATCACGTGATTTTTTTAAAATTTCGAATATTAGAAATATTTTTAAAAAACGTGAAAATGATAAATAGAATAAATTTAAAATTTTAAAATTATTTTTTAATTCTCGAAATTTCGATACGCTTGAGTGACGTCACGAGTTAACCGTTTAACGAAAGTGAAATTAATAAATTTGAATTTTAACGGATTCGATTCTACCTACGTAACAATTGACGTAACAAACGTTCGTTTTTCTTCGAAGATGGAGGGCGAGAAAGAAGCATTAGTTATTGACGGTAAGTTATTGATTTTATTGCACATTCCTTCTTTATAAAGTACTTTTTAATCTGTATACGTCACGAAATCCATTCTTTCACTCGCCTGTAACAAAATTCTGCTCTTCGTACCACAATGTTTAGATTGTTTTAACTTAAATATGATTTGCTGCATTCGATTAGAATATAGTATCATTATTTTCCATCGTTACGTCGAGTGTAACAACTAGAAAACTTCAAAATTTTTATTTAAAAATATGGATTGCACCACTGAATCCAAAGAATTCGTCTGTGGATTCCGTGGAAGTTCGTTGAATTTATAGCAGTATATTGGGATCAATGAAAGAGTTTTAAGAATCCTGTGGATTTCATCATGGATATTCGTCAGAATCCATAATTATGTTAATAGTTCGAGATCCAAAGAGGAGCTCGCATCTATGGATTCCAAAGATCGTCATAAATTCTGTATTGTAGTATATTTTGAAATTTCTAAACGAAATTTTACCATTATTTTTAATTGTGAGTTAATTCTTAAGATAGAAAGAATTGTTACTATGTTGAAACATATATTTTTATTGTTGTTAAGTTCTTTGTCAGCGAAAATTTCGAATTTTTGTTCGTCACAGATTTGAATCTCAACGAATTTTTTCTTTTATATAATGTTAAAGTTGTTATCATAAAAATCGATAAGTTATACGTTATAAATGTTTTCGAGTGTATAAATTTAATATGTTATGAATATAATATATAAATCGGATCTCTGTTATTCAATTGCATCCTTTATAAACAGGGCCATAGTGGAAGGAGAGCTGGGAATTTTTCGCCGGATCCAAAGAAAATTTTGGAAATCGAAATTGTTCTTATCCCTATAAAATTAATGTTATTTTTAATAATAGAAAATAAAATATATAAGATTGTTTTTTATTAATACATAAATATTTTACTATTTCGTTGTTTCAAAAAAAGAAAAATATGGCTAAAGGAGCCAGTGAAGAGGCTTCACCCCAGGCTCCATACCTGCTCTCTTCATGTCATGTCACTGCTTATAAACCATCATAAAACGAGCCTTTGTAGTTTTCCTAAGCTCAATATAGTAAATTTAGTTTGTGATGAAGGAAATTCTATCTCCTACATTCTTTTGTATATTATGAAAGAAAACATTAAATCCTCAATTCACAGCATCTTTCAAGTAGAACAAAGTAGAAAGAGTTTCCATGGTCTCAGGAGGGGAACATTTACCTTAATATGCACCCAAGAAGTTTTCGATGTAATAAGTGATCTTACGCACACTCAGATCGTCTCAGAGTATGCATCAGACCACTCGTGCTATTGTAATTAAACATTTAAATTGGATGATAATTTTATTTATAGAAGACTCATTAGAAATTGACGTTGTTTCTGAAGACTGTCTGACAAGTCGACCTGTGAAGATCCCACGACCTCCCAATGCTTTTCTCTTATTTTCTCAAGATTATAGGAAGAAGTTTTCAGAACAAAACCCAACGGAAAGCAACAAAATGATCAGCATCCGCTTAGGAAACGCTTGGAGGATGCTTTCAAAAGAGCAGAAAGAAGAATACTTCGAGAAAGCCAAAATTTGCGAATATGAGCATCGTCTGAAATATCCAGGTAAATATATATATTATCCTTGTATATTAGTATATTTGACTAAATTAGGTAATTAATAACATTCTTACTGGTAGACTACCAGTACAATCCATTTGTTGCTAGAAAGCGCAAACAGCAAATGAAGGAAGAGAGGCAGAAAAGCAAACAAATGAGGGAAACCAATGAAGATAAAAGAATTGCTGTAGAAAAATTGGGTAAGGTGAATGTGTTTTTGGATTTTTTATAAATTATTATATGAATTTTCAATTACTTAAGTTATATTACAGACAAAAAATGGCTACATCAAAAGCAAGATAAACCAGCTCCACATATACACACTTTGCCATCATCCATAATGTCCGGAAGATCCGGAATTCAAAATTCATCTTCCACTCTCAATTCTGTTCCATTGATTAACCAGCAAACTTTGTTGGAAAGCAAAATTTTAATACAAACCCAACAAAGAGAACAAACTCGAAATTTTCAAGAACAGCCGCATTCTCTTGTATCTGTAGATGGAAAATACGCAATGATTGATCCTCAGCAGCATCTTTATATCTTTCAACCCAACCAAATAGGCAATAAGAAAATTGAGAAGACTGAAACTACCGCTCACACAAAGATTCACGAGTCTCAAGCGGAATTAAGTAGAGACTGTAAGCTCTCTGCTCCATTAAACGACATTCCTCTTGTCAATGGCGGACGGATAGATGCAGATGGAACATCAAGATTCCCATTTCATTCTATAAATTCCGAATGTCTCGTACAACCTAGAGTATATACACCTGCTACAAGCTATTATCATTTAGGTTTGATGCTAAAATAATATCTTATTGTCGTATGTATTTGTCTTAGAATTAATTTAACTAATTTTTCCTATTGCAGCTAATCCTCCACCATTTTATTATCCAGAGAGTTATTATTCCCGTCTTTATTGCAGATATCCATCTCCATATTTGTGAGTATTTCTGAATTTATATTATTGCACGATTTAATAAATTTAACAGTTGAAGTAATAAATAAGGAATATTTAGCATGATTAGAAACAGTACAAGTAATTTTAAGAATTGCATTTTTCTTGTTTCAAGTTTCATACATATGAGGATCTAAAACATTGTTTATATAAATATTAGTTTATAATTGACTTGTAAAATATAATAACAAGTGTGTATTAATAGATATTAATTATATCTTATTTCCACTATTTTCATTATTAACCATGTTAATCTTCATAGATTTAACTGTTAAGATGCTGTCCTTGCATAAGATCTAAATATTGATGACATAGATGATGATTATGACAAACATTAGAAGAGTATCTTTTTTCAGCAACACATATACAGGTAACCCCCGTATAACACGGTAGTTACGTTCCAAAAAATTGCCGTGTTATGCGAATCCGTGTTAAACGAAACAAAGAACTAATACGAAAAGGAGGTTTAGGTTCCAAAAATTAAAAAACATGCTAGTATATTTTCATAATTAAGATAAATATCTTCATTAAAAATTTTTTAAGTGATACATATTAATATAAATTAAACAATGTTTTCTTCGTCATCACTAAAAACACTATTAATTAACCGAGAGCGTTTTCTTTTTGGCAAGTTATCCTTATCCTCTGAGCATTTTTCTGCATTATCTTCAGATCCATGCTTTACCTTTTGCAAAATGTATGTAATTTTAGATTGCTTGCTTCTAGTTAAAAGGTCTTTATAAATTTCCTTATATGGTGCTAAGCACTTATGAAGAATAAAGCAAGTATGGAATAAGGGAAAAACATTCGGCAACATCAGAAGCAGAAGCGTCGCGATCTGGCAACATTGAAACAAGTTTCGAGAAGGACCACGTGTATCGACAGAAGGCGAGAAGAGAAAATTTACATACTTAAGTACTAATAGTTCACGAAAATAATAATTTTCGTGAACTATTATTACTTAAGTATGTAAAAATTTATTACATTTCCTGTTGTACGAGGGTTTTACCCAATTCTCGAACCGTGTCAGAGTGAATCCGTGCTATAAAAGTACCGTGTTATACGGGGGATGGTACCAATTCTCGAACCGTGTTAGAGCGAATCCGTGCTATAGAAGTGCCGTGTTATACGGGGGTTACCTGTAATTGATTAACAAAACCCAATCATTGAATTTTAAAGAGATTTTACCTAGTGATGATGCCTAATACTACCAATCCTTACTCATAGGAGCCTGCTAGTGGCCTGAGTGGATAAAAGCCCTTGCACCTATAGTCGTGGGTTCACGCCTCGCCATGGACTGGCACAAACCCACGTAAAGTTTTCAGTGACTTTTTCACGTTTTAACACCTAAATGGTATTCCAAATGTGAAGAAATCCGTTAGCGGTCAGTTTTTCATAAAAAGACCTTTTGGGGGCCATCTCCCGTTGGTAGATCGCCCACCTGTCGCTATGTAGTAGCCAAATAAACCAAACATTTTTCATAGATAAGGATGTTCTAAATTTTTATTACATTAAAGAACTTATTAATGATCAATATTCAATGGTTACAATAATTGAATCGCGCTCACATATCTATTGAATCGAACTCATCCGACTGCATGTTAAATGGTTTGTAATGCATGAACGAATGTAGTAAGATCTGTGTAGGGTGTGAGTTGCATATACACACTTCAATTATCAAAAATATATTTTTACTTTATTATTTTTCTTATTTCTTATTTACTAAACCTTTTTTATCATAAATTTTGAAGCGCCAGAATTTACAAAGCTTTTATTTTATAACTGCAGCTACAATTATAGTTACGGATTCAGAAATTCCCTAGGAGCATGTCCTTCCTGCTCGGATCCATCGATCATTCGCCGTGCCTTCAACTATCAATCTTCTGGAGAAACATACCAAGTTCTTTCTGAAAGTCTTCACACTTTGAACTCGCAACCTTTATAGAAGAACTTGTTCTTTATTTTATAAATTATTTCATATAACGGCAGACGAATTACTTTTTAGCGTGAAGAGTTTGCTATGTTCCTTGGTTCTCTGTGTTTTAACTCTTCATTTTATCTTATGAGTTAAAAAGTCCTGCTCATATTTTATTATCCAAACTATAACGGAGCACTTTATTTCTGATTATAAATATTTATATAAAATAAAATTTTATTACAAAAAAATACATTTATAATGAATTTTACTATCTTAAAGAAAGATAGTGTGTTTAGCTTTTTCTGTATGCATTGATATAATGAACTTATTATTCTGCTTTTTAATTCCATTGATTGTAATTAGTGAAGTTCGCTTTATTTGAATAAAAAATATATGTTTAATGCATTTTCTTGTATTTTTCTTAATTTTTATGGGTACATTCAAGTTTATACCAAGAATAATCATCAAACGTCATAGTTTCTGTTTCCATACATTTTGTAAAGCTACACTGCCTGCCTAATGTACAACCGTCCTCTTGTCATATGGAATTTTAATTTTCCACCTTGTGGGTACTTAAATGGCGTTTTTCCGTGGCCAACAAAAATATCTGTCATTTTATACAGTCATGGGTGTCGTTCATTAATTACGTAACAGTTACTTTTATATTTTCCAACTACCATTCCATCTTTAATGCTGTCTCATATACCCACCTCCAAAATTACGTAATTACCTGATCACCCCTTAATTGTACTAAGCAATAATACATTGCATGACGTATCGAACGTTATGTGTGACCTACAAAGCAGTGTTATATACTACGCTTCAGAAACAAATGAATCATTCTGTTTCTCGAGTGTTAAGACCTTGTATTACGTAATGTTTTTATAAATGTAACACATGGTAACGATTGCCTGCGTGCCCCCAAGCTGTATCTGCTATATGTAATTTATGGGCAGCTCCTATTTAATTGCATTTTAACAAAAATTTTAGTACTTTATATGAAAGTATGCGAATATTTTATTTTTTAAAAAATGTCATCCATGAATTACATTTAAAGTTATATAAGTATTTTATTTAATTTCCGCACAGTTTGGCGTATTTAAATTTCTTTACCTCATTTAAATCGAGTCCAGTTTAGCTTCACTAATTCACTTAATTCTAATTAAATTTTACGTATCTAATCTCCGCTAACTTCATTATAATTAAATTAAATACAGTATAGTTAATTTATTTAAATAATTTATAATTTCTGTAGAACAATTTTTAACTGGGAGAAGGGTTTGCTGTGAAGTACCTCCAAATTACTCCTGAGATTTCAAGTAATTAGACAACTTTTAAATATTAAGTTTAATTAAATTATTATATATAAATGAAGAGAAAAAAATTATATATTTAATTATTTTCAATACAAAATCATTCATTTATCCACACGAGAAAAAAATTTCCTCCAACTGATCACTTAATTCCCCTTTGTCTACAATAAATCGATGAACGTCACACCAACTCACATTTACTTTCTCTTTGGAAATAATTGCAAACTCGCAAATCCAAATTGCAGAAAATTAATTTGTCGTTTATTACAGGTTATTTTCTCCAGGAAATCTGTTACAAATAATAGAAAATTAGAAAATATATTATTTTCTTTCAGCAGAACCTTTGGGTGACGGAAGGAGGTAGACGAGAAAAAAATACTTTCTTATGACATTAACCTGGTTTCATTAATGTCGATTTTGTGTAGTTAATCCCGAATGAAATGAGTGTCGTTCTCTTGTGCCCCCTGACAAATCAACTAGCACCAAAATAAGACGACTCGTCTTAACTCTCCCAAATGGTTAGATGAGGGTGGATGTATAAATAGGACCAGACATGTTTAGTAGTTGGTGGTAACTGTCTTCTCCTCTCTTCGAATACACGAAAATGAAGAGAATTATTCTACTTTTTCTATTGTTTTCTGCTTGTCAAGGTATGTTTTTGATTATAGACTCCAGTTTTCTAGTGTAGTGGGGGATGTGCAATGTTTCTACTCTTTATAAAACTTTACAGGTTATTTTAGTGGGACTTGGAAAGGTTTTATAGGTAGAGAAACCCTTTTTCTCTTTATTAAAATTCAAAACATGATTTTTAATTTAGTAATTTAAGCTTAAACTCTTTAATTAGTTCATATTTTTACTAAAATATATATTTATTTCCTATAAATATAATTTTCTTCTTTGTTAATTCCTTCATTACTATTCTAAATCTACCAGATGGCTGAGCTGTTAGTGTGTCAGCCCACTACTCTAAAGGACCCAGGATTGAATTCGGACGGGTCAAAACCTAGAAATTTTTCAGGGATGGTCTAAATGGATCTATCAGGCCCAATCCCTCACCACTAGGTCGCGTTATTGTGGGGCTGTCCGAACCCATAATGGGCTTGACATTTTAGTGCTAAAAGAGCGAAAAGAGTGGGGAAAATGTCCGAATCTACATATCTATCTACTTAACTTTATAGAGACATTTAATTTTGGAATTTTATTTAAAAAATTTTACAAAAGGTTACTTTTAATCATTAATTTAATTTTTAATTAATTGGAACATTTTGTTTAATCCAGCGCACTGGATGAAGCAGTACATTGATACAGATGATGAAGAAGGTGAGTATGATTTAATACTTTTCTACATAATATATATTAATATCTTCTATGTTTATCATTAAACAGAGCCGATTTCTACATGGAAACATGGTTTAGGTAAGAGAAACTGTGAGTAAATATTCTATATAAATTGTTTAATTTATCTTTACAAATTAAAATTCAAAGCATTCATTCACTCCATTAGCTTGGTGGACGAAGAGAGCTTATGAAAATAAGCCATTTTGTAAGTTTAAAAAAAATAATATGGAAAAAATAATTTAAATAAATCTTAAAATCATAATTTACTTTATTGCAAAGCGGAATTTAATAAGGAAACATCGAAATCCAAACGAAATAGTAAATTCATTTAGTTTTTTGTTAAGAGGTGCCATTGAAGAAAGATGCTCAATAAACGAGAAACTCGTGTTTGTTAGGAAGGATTTCAAGTTTAATTCCCTAATTATTTCCTCTTCCTTTCTCATTTAACTTATTTAATCTCATTGCAAATCAGACTCTCAAGTAATTAGCATAATTAGTGTTATTACTTGAAGATTTTGCATGAAGATACTGCCAGTTGCAACATCAAAACGAATAGCATTTTTTAACGTTTTGAACTAAACTTTTGGGCAAATTTCTTCAATTAGAACCTTTGTCGCATTTATTTAGTATGAAAAATCTTGAGAATCAATTTAAATTTTTCTTTTTCAGCGTGGTGGACCAAAAAGTCAAAATTGATGCAAGACGATAGTAATGGTACGAAACATCTACATTTACATCTATAAAGAAGAAACTTTAATTACTTCAATTGTATATTATATTCAAATATAAAATTACTTTTAAAAATTCTTTTATGTTGAAATTTAGAAGTCGAAGAAGAAGACAACTTCACAGTCGAGAATCTACTACCCACTAAAAAAGGTAAAAATATTAATTTATTTTAAATTGTAGGCTATCCATTTTAATTAAAAAATTACATAAAATTTTCAGCATGGTGGACATTTTCTGATGACTGAAAACTTCGGTATGTGTAGAAAAAAATATTTTATGTTTCCAATTTATTTTATAACTGAAATTTTAATATTATTTTTCAGGAACGGAAATTTTCGGAAAAAAATCATTAATTTTACATGTCTACAATAGAATGTAATATTATTAAAATAATATTAAAAAATAATAAAAACATTAATATTCAAAACATTTAATTGTTTAATTAATTACTATGAACTAATATTCAATCCGGAAACATTTAGAAGAGGTTGCAGAAAAGAAACAATATGCCTTACAAAATTTCTTACTACATCAGGTATCTTACTTTACTCGGGTAACTCCCATAAAGTGGATGCATCTGCACCTGTGAACCCCCTAAAACCACCTCTTCTATGAACCACTCTAATTCAGCCCATTGCAAGTGAATAAAACCAGTGAGCAATAGTAGACAGTCACGGACGGCAGAACGGTCATGATGGCAGCCTACCGCTCTGGGGGACCCAGAATCGAATCCAGACGAATCCGGACGGGTCGAATAATCCCCAGGAATTTTTCGGGGGTGTTCTGTCCGGCCCCGTCCCTCACCAACCGGTCGCCCCATTATAGGCCTGGCCGTACCCATAATGGGCTTGCAAAAAAAGAGGCTCTCTTGGTACGCACTGGGCGGAAAGAGTTTAAAACAAGTATACAGTCACGAGTTCTCGCTTCACTAACTAGCTAGTCACGTGGACTTTTCCGTGTTTTCTTATTTCAATTATATATTATATTCAAATATAATATATTAATTGGTACCAGTTTAGGTACCAGTATATCCAAATATAATATATAACAGGTACCAGTTTCTCGTCCTTCGAGAGACACCTATGGATTTACTTAAAACCACAAGTAATCCGGGCTTACTCCCTATTGTGAGTATGGCCAGCCTATCATAAGTATGTTTATACGTGCAAATTTTTTCAACTCTTAACCGCTCTGTGGACCTTAGAATGCTATTTTTAGCAAGCCTATTATGGGTTTGTTTAGGGCCACGACGGATCGACTGAGTGGAGGGACGGGTCCCGACATATCCGGAGGACCATTTTCAAAAATTCTTGGATTCGATTCTGGGTTCCCAGAACGGTAAACTGCAACTTTATCCGCTCGGCCATCCCGCTGTCTCCGATTGGATTTAAACTCAGATCACGTGATCAGCTGTTTCAAAATTATAAACATGACGTAATTTTAATCAATAAAAAACAAAAAATCAAAATAAGAAAATAGAAAATTACATTTTCTATGTTTCTGTGCATCAGTAACGATAATGTTTAATGTTCCGTATGCATTTCTTACTCATTAGCAATGGCGCAAATAATTGTACTTTTTTAATATAATTTTTGTATACGAGCATTATTTTATATTATTATCATGTTTATTTCACTAATTAATTCAGAAAATACAAATATATAAAATTATAAAAGTATTAATAAAACTTAATTGTATTTTAAAATTATAAATGAATTATTTAACTCATAAATCTCCGCCAGGAAGTATCTAAGTTGCTCCATATGTGAATGAAGTCTGCTCGTTCCATAAGTAGTAGAAGATTGACAAAATCCATGAGTTTCTACTCGTTGTCTCCTTTAAAATTAGGCGCGGAAGTAAGAGGAATAGATTTAAACGTTGATCCACCTGCTGAAGGTTCGTTTTCAAGTCATTTCTGTGCGCGGTTCTAAAGTTGATTCGTAAGCTGGTGTCGTAATTGTCAGGCGATCTTATTTTAGAAATAGCAAGTCTTATTTATCGCATGTAACGATGAATAGTTACCTTTGCGGGTTAGATTTGCGTAATAAACTATGAAAAAATCAAATTTGATCAGGAAAAGTAAAATTATTGCCCAAAACTATAATCACTAGCTGCTGCAAGGGAAAATAGAGCGGTCGAAACAAACTACTCGTCACCCTCTAGCGGAAATTTGTGAAATATTTTGTATAAATTGTCTACCTAAAGCTATTGCATTAGAGTTATAATATATGGAATTATAATTATGAAATACGATTGTAGTTTACAATCTATACGACCTCATACATCACTACTTCCAGTCTACGTACGAGACCTAGGAAAAAAGAAGGTAAAGCACACGAATGAGAGTACCCTCCGAGCTCTCTCCATGCAGTACATGTGAACTGAATGAGGGGTTTCCCATCCCAGAATTGTAGACCCTCTTTGTAGAAGCAAAAAAGTCAAAAGGAACCATAGTTTTATATGCAACCCTTCACAAGATATTTGTCTCCAGTTTCTTCCATGTACCAGTACTATTGTCTATTGTCCAGTGTTATCTAGGCTTGCTATCACTCGCACCTCAGCACTCAAGTGGAGCGAACCTCCACACCTCCCTAAAACTATACAACATCAAGTACTCCATAAACAGTCAAACAGGCAAAACTTAAAACTGTGAATAAGTAAAAAAAAGGCAAGTAACTCACGACGACGATAAACAGGATGTTTCGGATCCACTTGAGGCTTCGAGGATTGCCTCCTATTACACTTCCCACAAATACTACCGGAAAGCAAAAGACCAAATTTCAAGAAGAAATCTTCTTGTCTGAGCCTAATTCCTTTTATTCACCATGCAACAGTATAACAAGGTCTACAGTTGTGCAAATATGCCAACAGATATCTATAATTGTAATTTACTTGAAAAAAATCACGAATAAAAACTACAATCTCCACAAAAATTTAATTAAAATGCAATCAAATTATACTGCCATGCATGTGCAGTAATGAACTCCATATAATTGAGCACATCTACAGTCGACCCCCCTATAATTACAGTCCCTATAATTACGATTCCTATAAAACTATGAAAAAATATACGTATTTTGGAAATGTTGAATCGAATTAGTGTAGAATCGATTAATTTTATGGAAGAAAACCTTTCAATCAGCCGTAGTCCGTAAACTTGACACATGTCGGGCTGTGATTGGAACGACTTGTAAGAAATCGGATTCCTAATAAATTGGAACGTATCTATATCTTATAGGAGGGTTGACTGTATATGCAAATTTAAAACAACACATATTTTTCATGAACAAGATCTTGTACAGGAGTGGAAGTATGTATGACGTAGACTAGGTTGTAGGATTGTAAAATTCCACCTTAAATGGGATGATGCCATGACCTATAGTAGCATTTTCAACACCACAGCCTATAGTGCATCCTCACAAGGTTAGGATGCACAGTAGGCTGTGGTGTTGCTACTCTTTTAGCTTGTGGTGAAAATGCTACTCTTTTAGTTACCTAAGAGCAGCTTAGTACCTAAAAAGACCCTTTCAAGTGCTTATAAGCAATTTGTGAGGGTCTTTTTGTTCATATACATCATAAATTTTTCCAAACCCACAGAGTAGTTACAAGGCAATGAGGTACATTCCAACATATCTGAGTCAGATCTCCTAATCCATGGATGAAATGGGAGATCTGACCTTAACAAGACTTGGACCTTAGTACCTTCAAAATGGTAGGCTGTGACACCCTTACCACAGTACCTTCACTACTATGGTGACTGATTGATCACCATAGTAGTAAAGGTACTGTATTATCTTACATTTCAGAACTGATGAATTAATGATGCACATGTATTGATTTTGCAGTTCCTGAAGGTTCAGTATCACTTAAGTTGGACAGTATTATGAAAGTGGACTTAAAATTCCTGCAGTTGTTAGTCTTATTGAATAACCACATATTGCATACATTGCATTTGCAGTGTTGGTGATCAATCTGTTCTATGATGATGTTTAGCTCATTGCTTACATAGCCACAGCTTCTATAAAAGATGCAATTGTCAGTAGTATCATGCATGAACATCAGTTCATATATAATACAGTGGAACCCCAGTTAACGAACTTAATCCGTTCCGCGACTCCGTTCGTTAACTGAATAGTTCGTTAACCGAAGCAATTTTTCCCGTAGAAATTAATGCAAATGCAATTAATCTGTTCTAGTCATTGAAATTTTTGTCATTTTATTTGTAATATACAGTAATTTTCTTTGATGAAAATCCAGAAAAACATAGTATCTATCATTACAGCAACAAACATGTAAACTTTGTTTAATAAAATAGCACTCTACATACCTTCATTTGTTGTAGTTGGTGGCAGAAAAGTAGAGATATACGAACCTTAATGCTTAGAAGAGGAATCCCCTCCAAAAAAATAACAGGTAGCACTTCATCGGAAGATTCTTCAAGTCGAAGTCTCTTTCGGTAAAAAAAACCTACCAGTGGCTAAGTGGTCTTCGTACCTTGAACACGGGGAGTTCGTTTGTGGGTTCGCACCTCGCTCAGACGGGCTGGCCACGTGGAGTTTTCCGGGATTTCTCCACGTCTGTAACGCCTAAATAGGGCCAGTTTCCCTTAAAAACACCTCCCAGAAGGCATCCCCCCTAGTCAGATCACCCAAGTGTTGCGTTGCCATAATTTAACAAAGAAACAAACTCTTTCCGTAAGCAACAAGAAATTGATCTAAAGTTGATTGTCTTACTCTTTTAATCAAAATTTTTCTCAAATGCGATAGCGCATTGTCGTTTATATTGCGTTGTCGTTTTCTATTTCTACTATGACTTTTTTCTTTCTTTGATGCCATATTGATTAAATATATAAATCACAAAACTGAAAAAAGAAGTATAGCATAAACACTCGGAAAAGCAATGCTTAACTTGCGCATGCCTAACACCAACTAAAATATGACACAAAATACCGTTACATTCGTTATCCGAGACAAAATTTTTGCAAAATAAAAGTTCGTTAATCGATTTGGTCGTTAACCAGGACGTTCGTTAACCGGGGTTCCACTGTATATGCTTAATTTTCTAGCAGTCCACAGTATCTTAAAGACATAGGATGCATATAATTAGTGATCCAGGAGAGTTACAACTGACATGCCAGTCTTTCAAAATCATTACTCTGGAAGGTTTTAACCAAGAAGTTGGAAAGCAGATGATCAACCATTAAAAAATGATTTAAATAATTAAATTCTTAACTTTATTTTGAACTTTATAAAAATTTCTTTGTAGTAATTAAACAAATTAAAGATGATGTAACAAAGCACCGCATACTAGTATTTCGAGATCAAGGAATCATCGAAGGTAGACGACAAGTGGAAATTAGTAAGTGGTTTGGAGAGTTGGAATCAACATTTTATAAGTAAATAAATTTAATTTTTAGGTTTGTTTTATGAAGTCGGAATGATCAATTAAATTGTGTTAATCTTTCAGGCATTTAAAATCTCCAGATCCTGATGTGTTTCGCGTCTCTAATGTCCCTTCTGAAGGCTGTACTAACGTGGGACGTACTGGTTGGCATATTGATGGAAGTTTCATGAGAAATCCATTTTCATATTCTCTTTATCATATAGTTTCAGTTCCGAAGTCAGGAGATACGGGTTTGTCTTAATTTATAAATATTTAAAGTTTTTCTTTGCATGTTAATTAATTAATGGATATGTTCCAGTATGCATCAAACAGTCCATTGGTGAATTGTGATGTACTGAAATGTGTTCTAATATTCACTGACATATTTATCAGTGCACAAACCAATGCACTTTGGCAAGCCCTGATGAAACAATGCTGCTTCCACAGATATATTATTAACACCATTTTAACTGTCTATCTGTATTAACTGAAAGTTATTTTGATAAAATAAGCTGGCAAATGTTATTATAGTGCAATTTGCTTCCACCATCTTGTAAGATTGTCTAACATTCTGGTAAAACTTATTAAATTGTTCACCAGTGCATCAGCTGTGGATGAGACTAATGCGTCGGAATGTATCCATTATTTTTATGATAACTTTTTAAATTGATGTGTGGTTCAAATGTGTTTTATGCTAACTGATATTTAATGTTTTATAATGTAGTATTTCTGCCCCTTACTGAATTAATAGAAGGTCTGACCTGTCCGCAGAGGCAGAGATGGGAAAGATTATGGATGGTTAGTGATCGTAGAGAAGGAATAATTCATCCATTAATTTATTCTCATCCTATTACTAAAAAGAAGGTAATTCTTTATATTATTAAGTTATTTGAATATATGAGGAGCTTATTTTTAAATGGATGCTTCAAATTTATGATACTGAACTAACACTATAATATTACTCATTGCAAGCTCTACCGTTATGTAATAAGTTTGTATACCAAACAGGCCCATATATAATATGAAAAATAGCCTCTAATTTGCTTTTTGTTTACAAACTGTCATGTATCCTTTCTACTGTAGTTTCAAATGGAGATATATACATGACCAATGATGAAGGAGGAAAGAAAATCACATGCTTTACCCCTTTAAGCTAGGAAAACTTAGGAAGATTAGAATTTTACCCAAAATGTTTGAAATTTCATATGTATTTTCAGTTAACTTTTCCTCCACAATTACTCAAGTGGGACAAAAATTGGCTTTCAAGTAATGTTAATTCATTGACACAATTTTCACATATATAAGAGGATAAAAAAGGTCAATATTAAGAATCTTCTAAACACTCATGAAGCTTCTTAATATGGGGATTATGGAATCACATGAATGCTATTATTTCTGTAAGTGGATTTTAGATTCAAAGAGCATATTTAGTGGGGTACATAGTAGTGAGTTAAGTGAATTTGATGAAAATGAATCTTAAAATAGTTCTCGGTTGAAGTACATGAATAAATGTCCAAATGTATACCATTGTTGCAATAAATATCAAGTGTCTATTGATCTATGTGTGATTTCTCCTACTGCCTCTATAGTGTGTGATAAGTCCTACAGAGTGCCAAAACTTAGTGCTTATATATCCAATAAGTAGAGCATTAGCAAAGCTTCTATGAGGCGTACAGAATTGTATAGTTCTCAAAATCTGTTTGATATATTTAGATTAAACTTTGCCATTTTCCATTAATTGCAATATGGAATCCAAAAATGCAATAAAAAAAATGGAAAAAATTCATGACTTTGTTTTTGAGATATGAGGTCATCTCGTGATTGTGATGAGGTCTCTCGTGAAAGCAATATCGCACGAATCGTGTGACTTTGTTGTGCAATGTTTTCATGGTTACTAGCACATCTTGTATGGGCTTATAAAATTGAGTTTGTTCTCAAAATTTAATGGATTGATTTTGATAAAACTTCTCCATTTTCCATTAATTTAGACGAGGAATCCAGAAATATAATGTGGATCCATTTAACTGTAAGTTCTGAAAACTCACTCCATCTCTTTTTGGTGATGACTAAATTGTTTTTACCCCTCAGACTACTTAGGGAACTTGTATAGCAAAACTAGTTAACAACTTTTCAATTGACCAATTTCGTTTTTAACAGATAAGGCCAATTTTGTTATTTAAAGAGTAAAATATCCAGCAACAAATTGCCTAACTTTCCCAGAAACATCTAAAATTCTGATAGTGCTATTTGTTATGATATTTTACTTACATTAAAAATGTAGAGAGTTTTTTTTAATGAACAAACAGATGGAACATCTGTTTAATGAACAAACAGATGGAACATCTGTTTGTTCATTAAAAAAAACTGTTTACATTTTTAACACAAACAGATGGAACATCTGTTTGTGTGTCTGTTGTTATAAAATGGGAAAAAGGTTAATTTTGAGAATAGGGATGGATTTTATAAAAAATTGTAAATTCTAATAGTGAGTAAAATCTCTCTGTTATATACTGTATATCAGAGCCAGGAAAGAGGAAAATAGAAATATGAATCCATGACTTTGTTTTTGATATACAAAGATATTACAGTGATAATGTCCATGCCTCTGATGTGACGAGTGCACCTAACAGAATTTAAACAGAAAATAAAAACAGTATTAGATAAAAGGTCAAAAATAAAAATAGTATTAGACAACAAGAACAAAGCAATCACCATCGAATGCTTTGTTCTTCGATCATGTCCAGTGCAAGGTTCATATCTCCCATGCCTGCAGGTACGAAGTTAGCCTCTTTTACATAGGCAAGTGCCAAATTCACCTCTCTGTGTCCATTGGGTACTGTACAAGAATCATGTTTTCTGTGCCTAACAGGTGCAGGGATTACTTCTTCCTTCTGGCTCCACTTCAATTCTATCACGATATGATAAAGTAGCACAATGTCTTAATTATGTTAAAAAACAGTTGACTTAAAAGCTAAAAATTATTTAAAGTTAATATAAAGTTGAATTGTATTATGTGAAAAAGTTTAGTTTGTTAGCACATAATATATTTTATTCTTATATAACTATGTATTTGGCTATTAGTTTAGGACTTGTCACACCACACTTTTTAGGAAACTTGACTTGGAATTTATTAAAAAATAAAACGAAAAAAGTTCAACTCTAATATGTACGTTTTAGGTATTTTTTCCCCCTCTTCAGTTGGAGTAATACACTTTGCTATTCTCTTTTCCAAGTCATTTTCCAATCATGAGATCTAGTATTACTCCAAAATGTACTGTACTGTACATATTGGAGTTGGAATTTATTAAAAGGTAAATATATATACTTGAATTATTATTAACATCTTACATAATTTAATTTTAATCAACTTAGTTTTAATTGGTTGGGAGCTAGCAAGAGTTCAGAGTGGTATAATGAAAAAAATCCATGCTTCTGTCACTCCTGAGAATGGTTCAGAAAGCCCATATATAATTGTATTAGGGAATTTTTGTGTCTTGAAGTGAAACAGAATCAGAGAACTGAAAATTCAAAACTATATTACTGTAAATTAGGAAAACTATATATGCTATAAAGTATAAATTAAGTTTTTAACATATCCAAAACTATTATATTTAAAATTGTAATATAATCTGATGTTTATATGTTTGAAAAGCTTGAAAATGTGCACATATACATCATCATGACTTTCTCCTTGTGTAACTAAGGTTAAATACAGATGGAGTGGTTTTTGTCAAGTCAGCCATTGATTTGGCAACATTTAACTGCATGTATGGTAATCAGAAGACTAGTAGTTTCGTCTGTGTTGATTTCATGTCTAAACACTTACATTTGCCAGTATGGAACAAAGGACCACCCATTTCTTGTATTCATGAATGTCACACGCAATGAGTCAAGCATTATGCTGTACTGCAATCACGTGTCTTGTTTCATTTGATTACATAAGTTATACATTGAGTTGAGTTGACAAAAACTGCCTCATCTTCTATGTTTTTAATTATAGGTATCAACAATTAATTAAGATAATTTTAATTTTATTAGGTACTGTGCTTTCATCTCGGAATGACAGAAAGTTTTGTTTGGAATTACAAAACAGATAAATGCACAATGACGAGCGAAGAAGAAACTGTGCAGATACTGAAAGAAATATACAGAGAATGTGTGAAGAATGATGGAGCTCTTCAATATTCTCATAAAGTGAGATACTATTAATGATTTCATAATCTTTTATATTACTTGTAATATGGATTTGAGAATGGGATAAGGCAATGTAAAACATGGGCAAAATGCCCATTCTTGGGAGGACTTTTAATGGGAAACAGACCTCTATTTTGATGTTAGACACATGAAAATGCCAAAATCTCTCTGCAGCCAACTGTGTGTTTTTGGCTCACACAAGTGACACTTCGTCTTTGTGCAGGAATATATCTCACACATGGGTGTATAGTCACCATCATTGACAAAATATGATGCCCTTTATTTCTGATATGACCTTTTTCTCCCACTTTTGTGAGATTCTGGTCTAACTTATTTAAATCAATCTGAAGTTGTTAGATGTTTGTTTACAATTATAAATCACCTAAACAGAGGTGATCAACAAAACTCAAATTTATGAATTTATGTAAAAACAATATATAATTTAAATTTCATTATATTTTGATTTAGTGGACACAGGGAGACTTCATCATATCTGACAATCTGGCAGTGGGACACGAGGCAAGTCCACAAACTCAGTTTCCCATATCCGAAGTTGGACTGAGGGTGATGCACCGAACAACAGTGAAAGGGAAGTCAACACCCACAAAGGAATATTCTATCCAGAGTGTAGTTTGTACATGTGGGAAATGTAGATAATGTTCTTAAAGTGTAAAAAAGCTCAGAATTTGCAATATTGATTTATGCATTGTATAGTAACCAGATATTTAAAAAAGTTACAAATTCCATAGCATATGCTTTTGATGGAAGATATAAAGCAAAAATAAGCTAATTATAGAAAGAAATTATGTAATTCTTAATATATAAATTATAGCTATCGAAAGCTTGTTCTATAATTTGTTTAAAATAGTTTGTATTTTAGTATTTTCTTGCATGAACTGAAATTATTTATCACACAAATTCTAATGAATAAACTACAAATTAAGTTATATTACTAGCTTGTATATTATTAACATATATTAGTATCTAGTATAGGGGTGGGCAATCTTTCAGATAATCAACATTATCTACATTAAATGCTTATTTCAGGTAGCTAGCTGTTCAAATTTATCTCAGGAACATTTTTGTCCTTAAAAAGGACAGCTTCGGCTTCCTAATAAGTAGCAATTACTTAAAACTAAATTCAAACTTTCTGACCATTTTTGAGGATTGAATGATATTTAAAATACACATTTTTATTCTAAATTTGTACAAACAAACTCTGCATGTGCAGTATTAACCTTGCTTCTCAGCAACTAAAACGAAATCAATATACATTCACGTTTTAGAAACCCGATAAATTCTTACAAAATGTAAACGGTGATTATACAGTAGATCCTCCTATAACATGGTAGATAATTCCGTGTTATATGAATTCCATGTTGTACAAGTCACTTAGATTTTACAAATACATGAGCCGTTTGGTTTGGACTATCTACAAAAATGACATTTATTAAAATGAGTATTTATTTACAGTTTATATACAGTGTTGCATAGTCTGTAATGGGGATATCAAAACAAAATTGTATACTGGCACTTCATCATGCCAGTATACGAATGTGAAATCTGGAATTTTTGTCGACTATTTGTCGATTAATTGTCCCATATTTGCTTAAAATCTAATTAAATTTTCCTTTAACTTAAAGTGAAACCTAACGGGGAAAAAAACAACTTTTCGTTTATGTTTGACATAAACATCCGTTCAATTCGAAACTAATCCCACATTCCAACTGCTAAGTTGATAGTTAGCATGAGCCCGGGAACAACTCTGACCCATCTGCGTACCTTTTACCTCACAACAATTGGTCACATGACCATTCTCCCACGCCGAACTTATAAAACCCCTTCCTTCCCCTTCTCGGGGGAGTCATTCATTTGCCGTCACTTTTACAACTGTGTCCTAAGAATATTGTGTCCTGAAGAAAAAGTATTATCCTAATCCTACCACATCGTTGGATATCAAAACCTTTTTCCTTAAGAATATTCAAAGACATAAAGAGGTATGGAACTTATTTTTGTGAACTCTCTCTCAGTCCTTCGCGGTTCAGGGATTCAGATTTTTCCCTTTGAAATTAGCTATTGTAATTAATTAGTTATTGTATCTATGTAGCTAATAAATCGTTATCATCTTGTTAAATTGGTGTCCTCGTTTGCTCGTGTATCGCCTGTCATCTTACCGACGCACTCCTCCCTCCGCCACTCGACCCGAAACATTTAATCCCGTTACTGCGGGAACGGTAAAATTTTAATCCATCCTGACCAGTGAGAAGGGTTTAACGACCTGTTGCCGGATCGGGAGACCTACACCCTCCCCGGCGGTTCACACAATAAATAAAAAATTCCATTGCTTCACAGGTATTCTGCAAAATGTCAAAATGTCAGTTTCATTAAATTTGTAATGTAGACACATTACAAATTAAACACAACATTTTTTTAATGATCCTAAAGCCAAAAATCACATGGATTCAGGTCTGCTGAATATGCTAGAAGAAAATGGCAGCTGATTTATTCTGTTTCCAAAATGCCTGCAAAGTAGCTGAGCTGCTTCACTGGTGTTGCAGCATGCAGTGGAGCACCATTTTTCAGGAAAATAATGTTATCCAGATACTGATGCTGCTGCAGTGTTAGTATAATGTTTTCAAAAGAGATTCATATTGATGGCTATTGATAGAACAGGTGACAGGGCCTTGAGGACTGACTTCCTCAAAAAAGAAAGGCCAACAATATATGCTATTATAAATCTGCACCACATAGTGATTTTTGGGAATGAAGAAGCACCCAGTGTATTGTATGTAGATTTTCAGTTGCCCAAATATCCAGTAAGATGCAGTAAAATGTAATTAGATAATCATAGACAATATCTTTTCTAAACAAACCAACAATTAAGAAAATAGAACTCTATACAAAAATGACATTTATTAAAATGAGTATTTATTTACAGTTTATATACAGTGTTGCATAGTCTGTAATGGGGATATCAAACTGACATGAACAGAGGTTGCATTTCATGTGCTTTCAAAACTACAGTAGAGCGTCGATTATCCGAATCAATTGGGGACTGGGTTTGTTCGGAAAATCGATATTTCGGATAACCAATTTTGTATGAAAAAATATATTAATCTATCCCATGTTGAAATTTTTCTCCGTTGCGTGTTGCTTCATGTTGAATTTTCGTTGATGTTAAGCCTAACAAAGACTATTGTATCATTAAAAGTTATTTTTTTATTTTGTACAAACAAAATAAATATATTGAAAAATATAAAAACAATAAAAAATTATACTTCAGAAGTCAATTTAGTATCAAAAACGTAAAATATTTGAGTAGCCCAAGGCATAGCCAAAGATTGCAGCACCACAGCACTGGTAAAAATTTAAATTTGCCGACTGGAATTCTTTCGGATAATTGACTTTCGGAAAATCAACGCTCTACTGTATTGTATAATAATAGTAAAACTAGAATCTTACACTGTCGTATGTACAGTACACTAATACCTTGGGTATTGTTCTGGATCAACTGTTGCACAATACCAGAATATTGTTTTATATGTGGTATATATAGCAGTTGATCCAGAAAAATACCCAGATTGGGTGTTAGAGATAAAAAAAAAATATGGATTTTCTTGTCTTAGAAAGCTCCATACTTTATATCTGTTTTAACCAATTTAAAATGTACCTTTTGCTGTTTATAATTTAAAGTAGTTCAATTTATTTTATTTCACCCTGTCTTACATTAATGCATGTTTAAGTAAAATGTATAATATAAAAATTATGTGAAAGTTGTATAAACATATACAATTTTAATATATAAATATTGGCAGTGATGAATCTTGAACTATGAGTCTATATCTTCTATCATATTTTGAATTATAATTTGATAATTTGGTTCCATTTCGTTATACAGATCACGAAAACATTTTCTTGCCAGTCGTTCTTCGGCAGTTAAACTAGAATTTAAAAGTTCGCCATACAAATATACCCCCATAGCCTGCTTGAAAAACAAAATAATTAATAAAACATATAATTAATAAAATTATAAATTACACAAAATATATATATACCAAGTCCTCTTGTAAAAATTGCTCGACTTGTGAGTAACCCCAATCCAAATGATATTTAACTATGAGTTCGCACCACCTGTGTCTCACCTGAGATAATTAAGAAGAGTTTTAATTGTCCTAAGTGTTTATTTGTTACCGTGAAAGACCAAAATTAGAGAATGTCGACACATACAAAATATGTTGGTGAAAGACCAAATATTTGGTTATAATATTACACTGGCAATTGTTTGAATGTATATGTTGACAAGCACAGATAAGCTTTGGTGGAGGTCAAAACAACACCCGAGAAGCCGATGTCAAAGGTGACAGTCTGTCGCCAAATCCTTTGTTCTGCCGTGATTGAAATCACATGGTATCTATTTGTTATACTCTGGAACACTGTTGTTTGTCAGTCTTGTGCAAGGTTTGCTGGTGGGTTAGTCAGGTATGGTGCTATCCCTATGTAGTGGAGAATAAACGTGGGAAATTTTTTAAGTATTTTCCTATGCGTTTTCTCTCATTATCATTTCAGAAAAAGATTTTGTAAACAGTTATGTCTAGTAAAGAAAAGTTTTTTTATTGTTACATAATTTCTTTTTTATGTGAATTTTTTTTTGCGGTAGTTTTTGGCGATATCTGCAAAAGAATTTTGCAGATATTGCCATCGGTCACCAGTGCCACACGATCATCCTTGACAGATATATCCATCGGTCACTGCTGAGTGGTTAATTGCAAGTAAACGAGAAGACAATTGTTTTTATTTTTCTCAAGAAAAATACTTTCTCAAGTGATTTCTGCTAAAACTAAGTGCAGCACATCTTTCGATTACAGACGATGAAAATGTTTTGACATTTTAAAAATTAATGATGAAGAGAAATTAATTGTACCATTAAAACCAGGAGAAACGAATATACAGTATTATGTTACCAATGATAAATTGTTCAATATACTATCTGAAACTCACAGCAGAACAGGCCATGGAGAAAGAACACGTATGCTTAAAGAATTGCAACTTAAATACAAAAATGTTACGTATGAAGTTGTAACGTATTTAAATTTATGTAAACAATGTCACATGAAACATAGTGCACCTAAGAAAGATATTGTTGTGAAACCAATGGTCAGTTCGGAGTTAAACTCAAGTCAATCTGATACACCTGCAGTCACACAAGGATGGTTAATATAAGTTCATAATGGTATATCAAGATCATTTAATGAAATTTGTCCAGCTACTACCTTTGAAAACTAAGACAGGTGAAGAAGTAGTGTATCACCTTCCTTCAAATATTTTTAACATTTGGCACCCCAGCTATATTGCATTCAGATAATGGTAGGAAATTCTGTAATCAAGTCATATCCAAACTATGTGCTATGTGGAAAGATGTTAAGATATTTCATGGAAAACCTCATCATAGTCAAACACATGGCTCAGTTGAAACGGCCAATCAGGATATACAGAATATGTTAACTGCATGGATGAACGATAATGATACAAATAAATGGTCAGATGATTTGCCCTTTGTACAATTTGCCAAGAACACATATCATGAAGAAATATGTCAAAGTCCTTATGAAGCCATGTTTGGCATTAAACCAAAAAGAGGCATAGCATCATCTTTGCCTGGCGAACAAATTGCAAATATTGAAACCGAAGTACAGCTCGAAGAAATTGTTAATACTTTTGAAGGAAATTTGAGCAGTGGCCATAATGAATAGCATATTCCAAAGGAAAATATTGAAGAGGAGCTGCAACCCACCACATCTTCATGTCAAGGCCCTGACAGAACAACACAAATTTATTTCTATAAAAAGAGTGGCCACAAAAGAGAATCTTCTACTGCAAGCAACGAAAATGTTACAAACCTCAAAAAGAAAATTTTCTCCTGCTCAAATTGGTGATACCATACAAATACAAGTCCCTGATGTTGACTGTGTCCATACAGATGCCTAAAATGTGTTGGCAGTTGTTGTTGGAATAGAAGACTCTGACTTTTATAAATTAGCAAACAAAAAAAGTACCCTCAAGCAGCTTTATACTCGCAATCAGTTCATAATTTGTAAAGAAAAGTTACTTTCCATAGATGAGATTTCTTCTCAAGAAATATCAATGAAAGAAGCAGCTGCAGATAATTTGAAAAGTGGAGGGCAAGGCTATACACACTGTCATTGCAAAAAGAAGTGTTCCACAAATAAATGCAGTTGTAAAACAAGGGACACTTGTGCAATTCAAAGTGCCATAACAGTTTAAGTTGTTGCAATAAATAAGATTGCATAATGTTAATCACATAATTTATGTGTAAGTTTATTATTGTATTATTTTCTTTAATGATTAAGAATGTACTGTTCGTTTTAGGTTCAACAATTTATTTACATGTGCTGTTACTTAAGCTTTCTCCTATTTTGAAAGATTAAAAAGTTGCATTTTTGTCTTAATGTAATAAAAATATTTTTATTCAACATTCACCATTAGTGCATGCTGAATGTTGACATTTGCCAGTGTAAGTGAGAAATAATGATATTTAGCAAATATTTTGTACATATACAAAATGATTGTGTGAATGTTGACATTTGCCAGATATCGGTCTTTCACAGTAACATATTAATTTAAAAATGGAAGGTGTTTATCTTGACTTACATCTGCATTTCTCTTCTTCAAGTTATATATGCGATCTAATGCCATAAACAAGTCTGGGGATACATTCTCCTCATCTAAAATCTTCTCCAGAACAATTAAGAGTTGGTCGGACTGTAACTTAAAGTTAATTATATTTAGTTATACAGGTATTACACAATACCTATAAAGAAATTCCCACTTTCAGTGATTTACAACACGATACATGGCTGATAAATCGGGTGTAAGACAAATAACATGCTTGACGATCTCCTAATGTAGTTACTCTAGTTGGCTGCAAACACTGCAATGACAGTATCATCACAAAATGATTCTTACAATCTCAATTCAACCCCACATGATTTTGCCTTATAGGGTTAAGAAAAGGACAGGATCACATCTTCCATGTCTGGTACAAACTATACATAAAGATTGAAGAAACCGAAGCTAAAGTGATGTCTGACATGTTATCCAAAATATGGCAGGAGTTTGATTACTGTGATGATGATTGTCACATCACATGGGCACTCCAAGTGAATTACCATAATGTGAACATTGTGAAACAAAACCTTGAAACCATGTGTATCATTACAAGTTATAAAATAGCAGCTAATGTATTAACCAACTACTATGGTATTTGGTTAATAAACTGCTGAAACATTTAACATTCTTGAAACTGTGTTGATATTTTTTCCTTTGTTCAAACATGATACAGTGCAATCACTCAACCATTTGGCATTTTTCATCATTATCATCAACCAAATAAAAGTTAATGATGAAAAATGCCAAGTGGTCAATTGATTGTACTATATCATGTTTGAACAAAGGGAAAACTGCTGAAAGTGAGACTTTCTTTATAGACACACTGTACCTTAGAGATTCAAGAGTAAAATTTTACCATAGAAAATTCATCCCAGCTCACTTTCCTCCTCTTGCTTGATTTTGTCTTTAAATATAACCTATTTACTGCCATCCATTTATTAAACTAAAATATATAATATAAAATAAGTTCTCACAATTTGGATGTTTGTAATTATCAGAATGCAAAATTTACCTCACTTATGGATACATTATATAGAAGATTGTTTGGTGATGGTGTAAAATTTAATATTTCCTATATTTAAAAAAAAAAAAATATATGATAATTTAATTTTGTGGAGAAATTAAACACAAAATTCTACCTTTCTCAACTGCAATATCAGTAATTTGTTGCACATTTAGCTACTGTTAGTATTAAATGAACATAACTTACTTTTGGTAAACTGGAACAGTTTAGCCACTTGGTATATATCGTTTCTACATCAATACTGTTTCTGTGATAAAATAGATAAACTGAGGATAAGTATATTTGAATTTGCAACCGTTTGACAATAAAATTTCAAAAAATTACCTGGCAAAGGGGAATTTGGTAAAATATAAATTAAATATCTCCTAAAATATAAACAATTTTATATGAATATTGTCATACCTTGAGAACGAGATTTTTACGTCAGAATTGTGGCAATCTATTATTATTGGGCTGATGCAAAAGTTTCTGGAATTTTCCAGAGTTTTATAGTACAACATCAATTTCAAAAAAAATGAAAAATAGTTTATTCAAGAAAATAGTTGTCATTATGTACAATAGTCATGGATTCATGTCAAAATAAATTTGGGCCGTTTTCACTCAAAGAACTCTGCAAATGCAATTTTCATCCCTGTTGGCAAACTGCTTTCCATTGAAAAGATGGCAGCCAGATGGCGCAAAGTCTGGGCTATGGGGAAGGAAGAATCTCTTGATCGAGATCAAGCAATTTATGCCAGATCAACCTTGACCCATGTGGTCTTGTGTTCGGAAGTGTGTTTGGATTGTGAGGAACCCAAAAGTTGATTTTTCAGATCTTTCAAATGGCAGATAAGTGACAAACTATGGTGGACTGGTAACAATCAAGTGTCTTGCTCATTTCTCATGTGGGCAGGCACAGGTTGCTTCCACCAGCTGTTGCAGCTTGTTCAGTAGGAAGGCCTTCCCAAGCATGTCTTATTTTCAACTTTGTATTGCCCAACTTCAAATTTACCAAATTAATGACATGGAGATGACATTCTTGCCAAATGACTGCACTTTATGGCAATAACATTCAGCTGCTTTTAGACCAAATTGATAATCGTAAAATGTACATGTGCAAATTTGAATGTGAGAAGGCATTGGCAAACTTGACATATTAAAAAAATTGGTATTGCCACACAGAATATCATTTTTACTTATGATTGTGCACCTGAACACCATTTACAAACCCCACAACTTCTAGATGCCAATTTCAAATTCTAGGTGGTCTAGAAAATTTCATAAACTTTTTCATCAACTCAATATTATACTAATTTATTATTCAGAACTTTATATAATATTTATATGACATATCTAACCTTGGACTCAACCAATTGTCCTTTATAATTCTCTATATAATCTTTAAGGAGTTGTATAAACTGATCCTTTCCGATTAATTTACAAAGATATGATAGAAGAAAATATCCCTTGGAAATAAAAACTATATCAGCTTGTTTTACAATTAAATATGAAATTAAATCACAGTCTATGTTCGTTACCTTTAGATAGTGAACTTGCATGAAACCCTTCTGAACGTTCTGTCCATTCTTAATGTATGAGATAGTTATGCCATTTTTATCTTCCTTTGGAATTTTGCCTTGATTCGGTCTGCATATAAGTATATATTTTTAAGTTAAAGTAATGATAATGATGAAAAATTATGTTAAATTAGCTAACCTTAAGATTTGTAGATCTTTATCTGTGTGTTCTAATTCGGCTTGTAGCGTTTTAAGCCGTAACGTGTACTTGACCTCACAGTATTCATTTTCTGCTTCAGATGTCATCTGTTATTGAATAATTTTAAATTATATAAGCATTAGTAGTTGATTATTAATGGATTCTGGCATAAAAATGATCATGTAAAGTTCTTGTCTAACAAATAAATTAACATTATAATATATTATATATCTTTCATCTCTGCATAATTCTGTATAAATGACAGATAATATGAAAGGATTGTCTTGATATTAAGCCATCAGAAATCATGAATTGTCATAATTGAAGCTAGGACAATGTAATGTTAAAGCCGTGGTTGGACAAAGTGGACAAATGTGATGTAAAGTACAGTGATAACCTGATAATCCATCTGAAAACAATTGGCGAAATCAAAAACCAATGAAAACCAAAGCAATTATTTCCATATGAATCAATGTAAATCCAATTAATTTGTTCTAGAAACTCTAAAATACATACCAAAAATACATTTCATAGAGAATATAGTGTTTAATACTAAAAACAATAAGAAATTAATATAAAATGAATATAAAAGCGGCTGATCGCTGAAATCTTAATGTTGTCATTCATATTTTTCACTGATTTCCTTCTTCAACTTGATCGTGTTCCTGGTCTTCTTCTTCGAAGGGCTGCTGGCTCTGAAAACTATCTTTGGTCCTTTTGGAGCCAAAAGGAAAGGAAAGCAATGGAATTGTTTGACTAGAGGGGGTAATAATGCTCACACAATGAGAAATAACATCATATTGAGCAGGAAAATGCATGGGTCGCCCTTTGTTTTTGCAAAATTAGCAGTGATGTCACATGCACATGCTGATGAAAAGTGAGACAAATTTTTCAGAGAAAAAATCAATGAAAACTGACACTGACAAAAACTAAAGTCAACGAAAACAGGTATTACTGTATTTTGAAAATTTTATTGCAAAGAAAATCATTTGGAGGGGTTGGGAAATGCAACACTTGGTTGTTCTGCCAATGGAGATGCCTCCTGGGATTAATTTCAATGGAAAACTGTCCCTGTTAAAGTGTTATGCATTCAAAGCAAATCTTGAAAACTCAAAGTAGTCTGCTTGGCGAGGCCCGAACCCACAACCAGTGTTTGGTTGTTTTATCCATGTAGCTCAGTGTTTCTCAAAGTGGGCAAAAACGCCCCCTTGTGGGCGATGAGTAAATCTAGGGGGCGCTGGAGGCAGGGTATTGAATGGTGACCAAAAACAATATTGGGGTCACTGAAAGCCGTTACCTTTCCTCTGTTAAAATGATAAGAGGAAACATTGCGTTTAATGGTTTCAAGATATTGAGAACAATGTACAGTACAGTAAGTGCACAAAGTGTGAGATTCATAGAAAAGTTTTCCTATGAATATTTCCAATCCTTTCTCACACAAGAGAAAATGGGTTAGGGGTGTTGGGTATAACTTTATGGAACAAAGGGGATGGTGGATCGAAAAAGTTTGAGAATCACTGATGTAGCTGATAATTTAATCAAACATCCTTACTACACCTGATATGTTTAAAGTTATACATCAACCAAAGCTGAATATTCAGCTTTGGTTGATGTATAACTGATAATTTTGCCATGATTCACAAAGAAAGTGATAAAATGTAATTATCAGAATTTAGTAGTTTTAAGAAGAATATTTGAAAACAGACAAATGATAAGCACCAGCTGAACATATCAGTTTTCATCAGAATTTTTTTAAAATTTTATTTTTGATTCCACACCATAGGCACTAAGAAGTTTTTCATGCCCATTGTAGATTCAGCTGGGCCTGTAATTGGGCAGCTGAGTGGTGAGGGAGAAAGCACAATTTATCTGGGATAGATCACCCATGAAAAATGCCTGGTGTTCTCTAGAATTTATCCTGGGCCTTCCACAGCAGTAGCCAACACAGTAGCTTTACCTTCTTGGCTATTTTGACTGTTTAATGAGATCATTAAAGTTTAAGAGTAAGAGGCAAGACAGTTATGCTAATTGGAGATGACAGAATTATCAGGTGCTGTTGTCTTACCACACACAGACTAGTGGATCTGGATGATCCAAAATTGGATTAAAAATGAAACTGATGATAGGAAGGGCATCCACATAATACAAAGGTTGGTAAAGTTATTTATGAAAAAATTGTAAATAATCTTACATCCATAGCATGTGTGTGAAAAATATCCTCCATAAAAGTGGCAAATCCTTCACTTAACCATTCTTCTGTCCAGTCCAAGGCTCCTATGAGGAGTCCAAACCATCCGTGGGCAATTTCGTGAGCCAGTCTGGCACAGGTACTTTCATCAGGTGCAAGGAGTGATTGCGAGAGAAATATTATGTTTGGACTGAAATCAAGAACAAGTTTACAAATAGAACTAAGTTATGGTTGCATATATAGACATACCTTGCCATCCCTAAGCTTCCAAATCCTCTTGGAACAAAAAGAACGTCGATTCTCGGGAATGGATACCGATCCAAATAATGCTCAGCAGAATTTAAGCAATGAGGTAGATAATTGGAAAATTGCTATGAGAAATTAGTAATATGCAATATTTATGGTAAAATTGCAGCTCAAGGCTGTTGGGACCTTAGCCGTGGACCATTCCCATAGGTATGAAAAAAGTCAAAGTAACCAATGATCTATTTTTAACCCTTTGCAAGATATAACTCATGAAATTGGCTCATCTGGAGTTTTGAAGTTTCAAAAAAGGGGTAAAATTTAAAAGTGAAAAAATCCAGAACTATTTCTCAAAATAACACTAAAATTCAACTGTTTTCCACTTCACTAGAGATGGATAAAAGCTCATAAGAATGCCACTACACCATTTCTGGGTGTAATTAGAGGCATGCTGCATGCTCCATTAACCTATTGTGTTTACAAGTTGATTTTAGAGGATCATTTCTCTCAAACTGTCACACATAGACTGTTGGTTTCTTTGACTTATTTTGTTCTTATGGGCATGGTCTACAGTTCTGATAAGGTCCCAACCATTTCATTCAGAATTGCAATTTTACTGTATTTATTTAATTTCAAAGTGAGGATATAATTTCTTACTTTCACAGCTTTCTCAAACAAGATGTCAGGAGCAAAAATTCGGCAGAGTGGCTTCCTATAATTAAATTTGATTTGATAAACAAATTAATAAATTTTATCAATCTTTTAATCTAGTACCAGATAAAAACCACTCAATGAACTTAAAATGTTCACTTACAAATCCAATATTATATGCTCTTTCCAATATCCAACTGCTAGTGCCAAGGTAGACATTGGCAAAATCATCTTAGTATAATAATAATAACTTTTCAATCCTAAAATTATAAAATTATGTATTAATATTCATGTATCTTCTATAATGAATATTCAATTTTTAGTATAGGAGCTTTAGAATATAACCATTGTCCTCTTGAGTTATTGTAGGAATGGCATCGCCACTCATTAATACTATGGCATCTGCATCGACTGATAAGCAAGCTTCCCAAGTCGCCATTGCCATCGGAGGTTCCTGACATGGAAAAATAGACCTGTTATTGATCCAGGCTCCATAAGTATACACACAATTACTGTAAAAATATACAAGTATGTATTATTAAAAGTAACAACCAGATAAATTAGCTGGTTAAATATAATTTACCGTCCGTCTTGAGTCTTGACCCATAGTAATGACAGTCCATTCGGCTGAGTACTGTAAGATATTTTAATTAAAGTGGGAAAATTATGAGCACAAAATACTTCATTCTTCCAAATCTGAAGGGACCATTTATCTGTATAGAAGTTTAAGTATTCCTCATCTTTATAGTTTGATTCTTTGCTAATGTTTGAAGTGCAATTCTGTATCCCTGTTACTTGACGAACATTTATATCTTGACAGTCTAAAATGCACTTAAATACATCAGAATCTTGTGATTTTGATATATTTTTACCACAGACAGACTCTTCAATGTCGATTTCTGTAGGTAATGTCATTTCACAGTTTCCTGCCGGTTCTCTGCATTCTGCATCACTATCTTTAATACATTTCTCGCAGCTTTCTGTAACTGGTTTCAGACGTAGTATCACGTGACCTTCCAAAACTTTACGATCGAAGTCACATGTCCAACTAAACTGATAATGCTCTACCAATATATCGTTAACGTTAGATACTAAAGGCAAATCTTTGTCTTCATCCATTATTAAATTACGTTTCCAGAAGATCAGTTATTCATTAAGACGATTTTTATATAAAAATTATCGTTATAATAACATAGTAAATAGGAAAACAAACCCCACGTCCTCTTTTATTTTAAATGGGCGTCGCCATCTTTGACACGTAGCGCCCTCTTTTGGATGTCATATTTGGCCAACGCGATTCCACACCAATAATGAATCTTGAGATTTTAAAAATCACAACTAAATTATTATTAATATTAATATAAATCATAAAATAATTTGCAAATTATTCATATTTTTGCTACAAAATAAATAAATAAATTAATTAATTAAAAAACCTTCAATTTACGTAATAATTTCCTCTCGATTATGGCGATCGGATGAAACTGCGATGAGCGCTAAACACATTTAAGTATCAAATAACTACATTAAATTATTAATTATAGAAATTAAATTTGAAATATTAATTTAATTATAAATATAAATTTGAAATAAAATTAATTTTTTCGTTATTTTTGATATTTTAAAGAAAGAAGTAGACGCAGGATTCGCATAGGATGATTCAAGATGGCAGACACTGCCGAGTTTATATTGAAGTTTTTGGAAGAAAACGGACGAGGAGACTCGTTAGATTTGGCTAAGAAATTAGGAGAAGATCATCAGAAAGTCGTCGGAGCTATCAAGAGTTTGCAGGCTCTCGGAGATGTAAGTAATGTGGCATTTTCTTAAAGCAATTAACACGTGATTTTTTCGTTGTAGCCATGTGCTAACGTGTTGTCATGGCTCGGCACATGTTTTTCTTGTAATTTACAGGTTTAGCTATATTACACGTTTAATCGATTCTTACGATGAATTGATGTTATATATAAATTACACAGCTTCCTGTTTATTATTATATATCATATCCATCCCATATTGGGCAAGATTTTACTTCTATCGGGTACATCTTCACCCTGCTAGAGTAATATCACATTTTATACTAATAAATATACCAATAGGAACTTTAGATCAAGCTATGACCCTCAATATGATATTCCTTTAAAACTTCTAAAGCTTGCTGCAGTGGTGAATGATTTAAATAAAAGGAACAGCATCCTTAAAGTGTTTAAATTGAATATTTCCCTCTACAGAAGCGATTACGAGGTAAGATTTTACCTATGTGCACTGTCATGGCGGCACTTCTGGTCGCAACTGTTCATGCTGCCGACAGACTCCTCCTGGAGGGGAGCCGCTGGCAGGCCTCTGATTGTATAATGTCACTAGTTATTGATTCATAATAGTTCTTGAACACACGAATCAATAACTAGTGATGTTATACAATCGGCTGCCTGCCAGTGGCTCTCCTCTGGGAGGAGTCCATCAGGAGCACGAACAGTTGTGACCGATGCCATGACAGTGCAATGCTAGCAAGAACTTATTTCTAAAAAAAAAAAAAAACATTTAACTTTTATTCGGGTTTAAGCTGAACTTAATCACAAACTTTATGAAATTCTCTTGTCTACACCTAATTCAGGAAAATCTGATTCTAGAATTTTTTCATAGGAAAAAAATCCTCCGAGGTCCACTTGAGAAAATCAATTGCAAAAATGTAAAATGCAAAGACATTTGAACAAAGCGTGTTAGACCAAAAGAATTGTTTGAATTTACTAACAGCACCACCTACACTGAAATTCAAAAGACTTGTTGTCGAGATTACAGAAGTATGGCCATGATGGTGCACATAGATAAAATCTTACAGATTAAAACAATGCTCATTCAGTATCAGTTGTGGAAACTGTATAAAAATGTGTGTAGTTTTTAAATTAAAGTCTCATTTTGCTGCACACCCACACAAAACTGATCTCGTGTTCAGATATCTTCAGAGTTTTCTTGTTTGCAAGGTTGCATCATCTGCAACGTCAACACAAGAACTCTCATCATTGGCTAACGAAGTGTCAGCAATGTTTCTAGGGATTGTATCGTCATTTGTAGGTGGTTCATTTTTACATGCTAAATAGAAAGGTTTAGACAGTTAATACTGTTTAAATAGCCTATAATTATTGCTTTGAATGCTGTGAAATAGTGCAGAGGTTGTTCAATCGACAATTGTGAATTTGTTAGGAAAGAGATGTGAACATTAAAAAGCTGGATCAGGAGATAAATATGTTTTTATACCAAACTGGGATAGGATACCAAAGCATCTTGGCCTGCATGAACATACTGGGAAGATCAGACAGGTGTAAAACTGTCTGCTTTTCCCAGTTTTAAATGGCTTCTTACATAAATGATAGCTCATAGCCTTACCATCTATGTAAGAAGTCATTATTGACAAGTAAGATATACAGACAGTAGCTTATCAGTAGTTAAATTGTATGAAGATTGGAGAATTGATGTATGGAGTTCCAATATAAACAGTGCAACTCACATTAACCAGTTGACCGGTGTGCATACAAGTAGGTTTTTTAACATTATCTAGTATAGTAAAATCGTGGGACTGATAAAAATTTGACGTTATATTAGAGTTGTCGTTACATCCAATGACGTTATAATCGGGTTAAACTGTATATTGTTTGTGCAAAATAAAAATAAAAAATAATTTCGGACGATACAATAGCCACATTTATTTTTTTCAAAAACAGGAAATTTTCGTTACACATCAACAGAAATTCAATCCGTGCCGACATGCAACAGAGAGAAATTTTGAAATTGGATAGGTTAATTTCATTGAAAATACATCATGGACGACCTTGTGGTTATGGCCAGCAAAGATTGAATAATCACGCGAAAAAGCAGCAATATCAAAGTGAACAAGATCCACCTTGAGCATCAAAGTGATTCCACTTAGTAGTGAGTCTCTGAGACATAGTCTTGTTCCAAATATGGTTTTGCCATTTTACTTGTTATAATTTAAATTATCCATTTTATTTTGTAGAAGAAAGTTTACAAAAAAAATCAACATGGCTTTTTGTCGTTGTAGAACTATTATTGGCATTTGCCTGGGAGATGGCAAAACAAAGGAGCTTTCTCGTCTCATATTGTCAGAGAATAAAGAGTTTATTATTTTATGTTGTATTTTATTTATATATATTATATATATAAAATAATTATACCATTGTTAATCTATTATAAGTGTGGATTGTAATTTGTTTGTCATTGCACAAGGTTGTATTCATCTAATCATTCCATACTTTTAAAAGTGCTTAGAACAAGTGGAAAATAAACTAGACAGAAAGGGTTACTACAAGCAGTTCTGATTGTTCTGGCTAGCCAGTATAAAATTTATCTAAATTAAAAACACAACACCTTAATTTGCTGAGAAAAACTTTTAATGAAAAGCAAACGTTTTCAGCCAAATCTGTTGGCCATCATCAGGCTAAGTTTTTAGAATATAAACAAAATAGAACAAAAATTTTAAATACAAAAAATAAAATAACGAACGAAATATATATATATATGTATAAAGAAAAATAAAATAAAATAAAAACTCTTATTATAAAATATGTATATGAAAAATAAGCATAGGATAATTAAACATTAAAAACGTAACATAATAATACATTATGCTTAATTCGATGAAACGCAAGATATGCTAAAAAAAACACTAAAAACAAGGCATTAAGATCTGTCCAATTGCTTGATTAAGTACTTCCAGGCGGAAGGCAACCCTTCAGCATCCCTAGAATTAATGCATGCATCATGCAATTTGCTTCTGTATATTTCAATCTTTTCGGTGCATATTTTCATTCGTTATTTTATTTTTTGTATTTAAAATTTTAGTTCTATTTTGTTTGTATTCGATAAACTTAGCCTGATGATGGCCAATAGATTTGGCTGAAAACGTTAGCTTTTCATTAAAAGTTTTTCTCAGCAAATTAAGGTGTTGTGTTTTTAATTTACATACAAGTGCTGAGTGAATGTACACAGATAAAATTTATCAAAAGTTAATCAGTCCTTGCCTGTATGAGCGATATCATCACATCCAAAACTTACCGCATATCTTTTTAACATAATACTTTTTAACATAACTTACTAAAGTAGACTTGCACTAACAAAAAGTGCACCCTGCTTATTGAGAGGCAAACACTAGGAAAATAACGATTATCATTGCAATTCACAATGTTTGCTAATGGCATATGTTGTGGATAAATATTGTCTTACAGTCTGCTTGATTAATATAAGTATCATCAATTCAGCAATTACTCTGATATATGATTATCCAATAATACTTGTTTATATATTGCAATTTATGTAATTGTTACAGCAGGGTATATAAAACTAGAAAAGTTTTTGATAGTACTAAACAAATTTGAAATTTTATCTGGAAATTTGTAAAACTGTAAACTATTTGTGAAAATGCCAAGGTTCCAGACCAGAACCTGAACTTTCTGTAGCAATGGATTGACTACTTCACAACTTCGGACATCTGCTATCTGCTTTATCTTATGCTACTGGAAGGAATTTATATAGCATCTGTGTAAGGTCAGAGTAAATCTTGTTCCTGGTCATCTAGCACTGGAGGTGGGTTGGTGACGAAGTGTGAGGATTGACACGTAAATTAAATTAATTGATTTGATTTATGTGTCAATCCTCACACTTTAAAATTCTTACAGTCAAAATGTGTTTTAAATGGGAAGCGGTATTGCAACTTAAACATTCTCATTTTAATAATTGTAATTTTGTCATCTTCGTAAGTATCATTAACAGTTTTTATATTTGACATAAGGTGATATCCGCTCAGCAACAGAATCATAAGTACTGGGAGGTGACAGAAGAAGGGCAGGAAGTGATTTCCAGAGGGAGTCACGAAGCTCTACTTTATCATACAGTACCCGAAGATGGAATATCACAGAAGGAACTTATGGTAGGTTTTTTTAAATTATGAAAGTATCCGAAAATGCTTATTTATTTATAAAATTTTTAAAGCAAAAAGTTCCAAATGCAAAAGTGGGTTTTAGTAAAGCTATGTCCGCGGGTTGGATTCGTCTCGACAAAAAAGTAGACAATGGTCCGAAGGTGTTTCGTAAAGTAAGTTTCTCATGTGTGCTGTTAAAGAAAATTAACTCTGCATTATATAGGTAAATGTCTCTTCAATCCGAACAAAATTTCGGTAGACTTTCTCACAGCTCTACATAGAGCTGTGAGAAAGTCTACTGAAATTTTGTTCGGATTGAAGAGACATTTACCTATATAATACGTAATACAGCTACCATTTAAAATTCAACAATTAACTCTGCATTCTTCTTTGTGATGACTTTTATTGTTGTGGCAATAGGTCAATGACATAGAGGATGAAGTACAACAGCTGTTAATTAAAATCAAAGAAATGAAGTTTGATGATGTTTCCGATAACCTGAAACAAGATTTAAAGAAAAGAAAACTTCTACAAGAAATGTAAGTGTTTTTTAATTTTTAGAATGGATGAATCTCTGTTTTAAATTGTTGTCACTTTACACTTAAGTTTTTCTTTTGGTAGTATAAATTTATTCAGAAAAGTTTATCATTATCCTCATTTTCTACATTTAGTCACTCTTATCTGTCACACAGTACTTGTTCACAAGCTGTAAAAAACATATACAGTAGGATGTCATTTATCCGAAAGCCGGTTATCTGAAACGTCAGTTAACCGAAAGCATTCCAGTCGGCAAGTTTAAATTTTCGCTAGTGCTGTGGTGCTGCAATCTTTAGCTATATCTTGGGCTATTCCAATATATTTTTGTTGGTGTGTGTGTGTTTTAGCTGGCAGCACTGGCACTTTCGTGTAGTGTTTTTCTGAGGACTGTGTCTCGTGCTGAATCGAACTTTTTTGATACTAGATTAACTTCTAAAGTATAATTTTTTTGTTTTTATATTTTTATTTTGTTTGTAAAAAATAAAGAAATAATTTTTAACAATACAATAGCCACGATTATTATTTTAAAAAGTTTACATTAGGGTTAACATCGACGAAAAATCAACGCAAAGCGGATAGGTTAATATATTTTTTTGTAAATAATCGGTTATCCGAACAACCTCAGTCCCCAATTGATTCGGATAAATGACGCTCTACTGTATGCAAGTACTGTGTAATGACAAACATTTTTCCATGCATAACTTATCTGTAAAGGTTTCATACAGAAAATGTAAATATTTTAATGGAAAGGATATCTTTATTCAACTTGAAACATTATGGGAATATGCTAGATTGAAAGAACAAGGTTAAAAATTTACATATTTAGCAAAGCAAATAAGAAAACTTGCATGAGGATTAGTTACTGAAATACCCTCTGTATTGTAACTTTTCTACTATTCGTAGTTCCATTTCATTTAGAATTGAATCATATGAATAATTTTTCAATTTTAGCACCATAAAAAGTTACCAAATAGACAAAGGAAGCTCATTCAGCACTTCCATCATGAAACAGGAAACGGATCTCACCTCTGAAATGATCTCCAGGTAAGTTTCTAATGCGTTAAAATTACAAGCATTACAGAAGTATGGCATTTTTATGATTTCTTTTAAAGTGGATCATGGAAAGAAAAATCCTTCAAGCCATACAACTTTGATGCCCTGGGCCTGCCACCTGACTGTGGACACCTCCACCCACTGATGAAGGTTCGCTCGGAGTTTCGCCAGATCTTCTTGGAAATGGGGTAATAAGAAATACAGTTTGAGTGAATTTTGCTTGTCCTGAAAAGATAATTTAATAATTCATTTTGAATAGTTTTGCAGAAATGCCCACCAATAATTTTGTTGAGAGCTCATTCTGGAATTTTGATGCCCTCTTTCAGCCACAGCAGCATCCTGCAAGGGACGAACATGACACATTCTTTCTATCTGGTAACTGTAGCTTTACTTTAGTTAAGTTTTTAACTGTAAAACATAAAACTTGTATGAAAAATATCTTTTATTAATTTTATAATGGCTTGGCTGGGATTTGCCACTGTTCTTTCGTGCATTCACCTTAATTGCCATTCCTAAAATTTAATAATTCCAAAACATCCTGCAAAGTTTCCTGTATGCATACTATATTGTTTTGTTAACAGAGCAATGCTATTCTGTAAACAAAACAATATTTCATGTAATTACAGAACAATGTTGTTCTGAAATGATGACATGTTGACAAAGTTTGAAGGGCTCCTTACAGGAGTTTTCTGTATTTTTTGGGCATAAAATAATGCTGTGAAACCATTATACAGTGGGTAATCGGTTAACAAACATAATCCATTCCAAGACTTTGTTCGTTAACCGATTATTGATTTACCATAGGTTTTTATGGAAATTTAATTAATTCTTTCTGGAGATCCAAAAAAATAAAAAATATATACTTTCTTACTACATTTATTTATATGTAATAATAAAAATACATACATATACAGTCTTGCATTTTTATTAGTCATGTTTTTTTTCCGTTTGTGGGGGTTAAAGAACTTGTCTAATGTCGATTGCTTTTCTCTCTTCTTCAGAATTTTTCAGAAATAATTAATAGCATTGTAATTGTAGAGATCCCCGAGCCTGTTAACCTCAACCTGGTTTGGATGCCATTGTAAGACCATTGTTCTGACATCTTCCCACTTTTGCAAAAGATGTTTAATAGCAGATATTGGCATTAATCCTCTTTTTCAAAAGAAAACATATCTTGCCGAGTTTCTTGGTGTTCTTCTGTTGTCAGTCTGTTTCAGGTTCCATTATGATCTCTTCAATGTTCTTTATTTCTATGATTTTTGTTACTCCTTTATCTGCTTGAGTCTTTTTGATTATACAGTATCTTTCTTAGATAAGATTGAACTGCGGCCTACTGTAGACCTGTTCAAGCCATACGACCAGCAACATCAGATATCTTCTGCTCACTCTCTCCCTTTGCTATTATACTCTCACCTTTCGAAAATAAAAACCACACAAAACTTAACATGTGCCTGGCTGACAGTCTCGTGAATACAATAAAAGAATTGTTTCTGTCAGAAAAATAAAAGGCTGGAATTACAAGGGAGAGTTTCAAAGTTTGAAGGAATACTATCCGATCAGTAAATACTAGGTTGAGCGTCGATGTTGACATCTCCTGCGCTCCGAAAGTTTCAAATTGTTGCCTGAAGACAAGGAAAGACCAGTTATTTTACCTTGCTTCTTCTTGTGTTTGTTATCTGAACACCTCACAGAACAAACACAAAAATGAACACTTTTGCAAAAGTGTTCGTTAACTGATCACCCACTGTAATTGTTGAAGGCTGTAGGGCCCTGGCTATCCTATCAAGACAAGAATTTGAGGTTGTAGCACCTTGCAGACCACCATCTTATTATTGTACATAGCCAACAAACATCCATTATAATGCCTATCTCTTGTGATAATCCCAAGAGATATCCACAATGTCAAGCCACCAAAAATCATCAGATTGGAAAATTGCCAGTATGACATATGATTGCAGGTTAAAACTTGACACCCAAACCAAACACATTAAGAGGGTCACATGATACAAACTCTCACCAAATGAGTTCATACTACAAGATACACTCAATGTATTCATATTGTTATTCATGTAACTTGATACTAAGTATCCCACAGATGGTTTCCTCCACTAATTGGGCTGCAGTTTGAAAAAATTATATACCTATAAATTCCCATTGTTGTTCCTTAATCCTGAGAACAGAGTTATATAGATAAAAGATATGAAAGCCTTAGGGGCAAGAAGCCCCAATTAACTGTATATGAACTTCCAATGTTAACTGGATGTCATGTTATTTCAATTCAAAAATTTTTTTCCCAAAAAGTGTTAGATAGATGATCAGCAAGAATGTATTTTTAAAGGAAAAGTATGTTTTACAGAGGCAAGCCACTACTAATTTGACATGGAGAGCATATATTTTAAATTAAATAAACAAAAAACATGAGTAAAAATTGCGGCCTGGCATTGTGATGATATCACAATAAATAATTGCTCATTGTAGATTAATAAAGTCTTGTTAATGCAGGTTTCTAGAAAGGATGGCATTCATTAATCTATATATATAAAAATGAATGTATGTCTGTGGGTCTGTCTGTTCTTCATGCATTACCACACCGTTTATCCGATTGCCATGAAACTTTGGGAAGTTGTTTAATATACTCCGGCAAAGGTTTGTGGCATAGTACGATTGCCATGAAACTTTGGAAAGTTTTTTTAATTTTTTAATACACTCCCGCAAAGTATATTTATCCTACGATAGATGGCGCGCGTTTACACGAGCATTCGCGCACAGTGTGTTCNTAATGTTTATGCATCTATGAAAGTGGTTAGTGCTCTACCAAAAATTTGTTTTTAATAGTTTAAGAAGCACAACCCCAAACAGGGATTTGGGCTAGAAAGAGTGGCTGTAATATATTTCTAGTTAATGAAGAACTTGTTGTGTAAGATAAACGTGATTTTACTTGAACTTTGTACACTGCACAAAAGTGATCGTGACCAGTTTCTATAATGAAACGTAAATATCTTGCTTCGTTTCTCTCATTTCCAAATGTCACTTTCTGTAGACTGCCATCGGTGGCCTGTAAATCTGAAAAATGTATATAATTAAAATCAAAAGATTATTCATTTCAACTTAGATAGAGAAAATGCAGTGAGGTAGATCGTGCCAAAGATAGGTATCTTTGGCACAATCTATGCCTTTCTAATGTAGTAAGACTATATGTATAATATCAATAGTTGCATTATCAGCAAGTACAGAGAACACTTATCAGTGTGGATTAGGTATAACAGCACTTGTCTAAAATACCTGTTTCAATCCTCATGAATTAACAAATTAGCTCTGCAATTATTTATTCTGGGATCGACATTAATGGTAGGATGTGTTAATTTAAGATTAAATTTTATCTGTAGCAGTGTTTTCGACCCTGTTCATCTAAGATAAGAAGCATGTACAGGATATCCACTTAAATATCTGTCTAGAGAGATCTTCCCAGTATTGCATAGATGCATGTTTATTCTGGTGCTAAAATAAACAAAGAAACTTGTTACTCCTATAGGAATTGCACTTGTACAAATACCAATTCTACAGCCATTTAATGCAGTAAAAATTTCATTTAAGACAATTGAAAATGTCTGAATATCTTCCGAAGAAAATTGTTTAAATACCAACTTCACGAAAAGAGATACAAAAAGTGAGCTTTATTTTGTTATAAAACATGTTCAAAACGACAGCCTTCAGTGACAATACAAAGATGTAGACCAATAATTCCCAAACTTTTTCAAGCCACTGTCCCCTTAGTTTCATAAACTTATATCCAATGCCCCAATTTAATATCTAATTTTATATCTAATGCCCCAATTTGTTTTCCCTTGTATGAGAAAAACTTGGAAATATTCTTAGAAAAGCTTTTATACAGACCTCACAATTTGTATCTCTAATGTGCATTGTGCTTAATGGTTTAAAGATGAAGAGAACGCAAGATGTTATGGAGCATTACAGGGAAGTGGAATGATAGTTAAAAGATATAAAAATAGTGTTATATAACATGGAAAGGAATCTGCAGGAATCAATATATGGGATTAAAGATCCTTATAATTATTGAACTGCAATGAAAACAAATATAATCTGAATTAAATTCTTTGTTTCAGTGTAGATTATAAGTTAGCAGCATGATTGCACCACATGCCTGCTAATTAAGTTAATTTAATTCAATTGTATTTGAATAGATCTAGTCTTTAATTAACTTAACATGTATAATGTGAAGTACTTCACCAAATTATTATAATAGAAATTCTCAATCTCAAACATCCTTTGTTTGTAGTAGTCATTAGAAATTATGAGATGGATTTTGGATATTTTGTGTCATTACTACCATTATAGAAATAATGCTAGAGTGAATTAGGTACAGTACATTTGCAGTATTCAACAATATTTGATTATTAATTCTTTGTACATGAACAATATTATGCTTGAATTTTCCTATGAAAGTATTTTAATCACCTGTCTTGGATGTTGTCATGCTTATAATATTGCATCATGAAATTTTTTTAGCTACATAATGTTAAGATATGTGGACAGTCAAAAAGTTCTGAAAATTCTGGTATAGTATTGTAATGGTAGGACATATGGAAATGCTTACAATAATCACATTCACAGTAGGACCCTTCAGCACACAGTTGCCTTGTCAATCTTGCCATTGTTGGAAGTTCCACTGGAAAGCTTCTTTTGGAATGTTCAGTTCAGCAGTATTTGTCAGTAAATTGGGATAAAGCTCCTATGATATCACATTTTAACACAACACTTCACTGTCGTGTTAAAATGTGATATCATAGGAGCTTTATCCCAAGGTTTGAATGAAACATCAATAAATGAAGTGCAAATAAAATCTTCTATGAAGTGTATTACTATACCAGTGACCAAAATTAAAACAACAAACACAAAACCTATGTAAAACAACATCATGAAACATAAGTAACTGAAACTTGCGCCATATGTAAATTGGTAAAGTGTCACATAAATGAGGCACAATAGTGGTATATCCATGCGACAGAATGTAATATACTGTGTGTGTATATATATATATATATCTGTAAACAATCATCTATTAGGACCACTAATTGTGAGGTATTCCTGATATGTCAGTAGCTTATTGGGCATACCTTGGAGCAAGCATTCAGATGATTCATTGTGTTTGCCATATACTTTTGTGTGCAATGCTTAACTTTGAACACAAGGGTAGTAAGTTCTGCTTGCCATAACCATTCCAGGAATTGTCTAATGTTTTTAGAAATTAGTATTTTAAATTAGCAGGAAATAGTACTTTGTGCATTTCTATTCTTGTCTACACAAATCTTTTAATATATGTTGATATTATTGTTTTGAAGCATTTTTAAATTGTTCTTTTATATATATATATATATATATATAAACAAAGGGGTTGTCCACAAATTACATAATGCATATATTGGTTGGGTTGGGATGCAATGATAGTATCTCCACTATTGGGTAATAAAATGATTCATTTCTGTCTCCAGAGTTGCATGGTGCACAAACTTGGAGTTGCCAAATTGAAAGAAATTTATTTGACAATAAAAAATATAAGCGCTTTTCTTCAACAAGTTTCAGGTACCAATAAAATAGTGAAATGAAATTATATTATTTATAAANTAGTGTGAAATGGGATACTGAAAGTAAACTATGTTTAAAATTCTAGTATATAAATAATATATAATGTCTAGAGGAACAATTTATGAATTATTAAGTTTAAGTAAAAACTAATTAAATTATACTGGATAAATTAAGCATAAGGGTGAGATTGATGTCTGTTAGTATTGAATGCAGAGGGACAGGCGGCCTAAATGGTCTGAAGGGAAGAATGTGATGAGCAGTGAAGGAGGCAAGGGCTGCAGATCAGAGGAACAACAACAGTATAGGGTATGCCTATGCTACTTATTTGGTGAAAGAAAATTATTTGTTATATTTAAACATTTATTATCTAAGCATACTTCCAGGCAAAGGCAAGGCGAGATGAGATGAGATAGAATGTGTGGTGAAGCAAAAACCTTGACAATAATGTTGTAGTGGGATATGGGTATTAGGGTGGAGGAGTGATTATTTGGAGGAACAAAAAGTTTGGTGTACTTTGATATATTTGTGGAGATAGAGCTTACCACCAGGCAGTGGTAAGAGGACCTGACAGATTAACTGCATACTGAAAAGAAAATGTTTGAAGTTAATATTGGTGTGAGCCAATAACCTAGCTCACGGCAATGCCAACCCCAAACAGAGAAGGCAAAGAAAAGGAGAAGAAGACAGACTGTAGTGTAAACCATTTAATAGAGTGCTTGTTGTGGAAGATTAGCACAATGTTAATGTTTATGCATCTATGAAAGTGGTTAGTGCTCTACCAAAAATTTGTTTTTAATAGTTTAAGAAGCACAACCCCAAACAGGGATTTGGGCTAGAAAGAGTGGCTGTAATATATTTCTAGTTAATGAAGAACTTGTTGTGTAAGATAAACGTGATTTTAATGTTTGTGTGTCTTTAAATGATTAATACAATACCGAAAAACTAATTTTTTAGAGGCTTGAGAAGCCCAAACGCTGAACAAAGAAAAGGGGAAATGCTATTGGCAAGTACCAAATCCAACAGAGGTCACTGTTTTTCAGCCAAGATGGCTGCCGAAACAGGTAAGGAACCAACCATGTGTTTGTTAAGTGCTTGAGCCGATTCAGTTTCCATCGGTGACGACTACTGCGAGGACCAAATGGAGAACAAATCATTGGATTTATGTCAAATTCTAGACTATATCGGCAGCAGGAAACATTGTCTCGTAGAAAGTGAAGCGATTTTGGATGCTGGACACGTTGTATTTTGTGAATTAAACTCTAACAAGAACACTGAAGTTCATGTTGCAATCTCAGTTATTGTCATTTTAATACATCTCAATTACAGGGAGAATGCAATTGCAAAGCAGGGCTGTCTGGTTTTTGTAAACATGTGATAGCATGTTTATTACACGTTAACAGGTGACAAGTGTTTAAATATTTTAAGCAGTATACACCATGTTCCAATATAAAAACAGTTTTATTTATCATAATAGTTAAAATTAGTGCCAATCTGAAGGCTGCCCTGCTGAGTCATTCTGCACTTATACAACATATGCCAGTCAAAAGTTTGTAGCCCACATTATGTTTTTTGTGTGTGAGTGTGTGTCTCACATATCATTATTTACTTATTATTGCTTTAATTGTTTAATAAATGTTAGATTTTGACTGGTGACAACATAGCAACCCTACTTGTACACCATAAACTTGCATTATTAAAAGATTACAGATATATGTATACACACACACAAAAAACATAATGTGTGCTACAAACTTTTGACTGGCCTATGTTGTATAAGTGCAGAATGACTCAGCAGGGCAACCTTCAGATTGGCACTAATTTTAACTATTATGATAAATAAAACTATGTTTTTATATTGGAACATGGTGTATACTGTTTAAAATATTTAAACACTTGTCACCTGTTAACGTATAATAAACATGCTATCACATGTTTACAAAAACCAGACAGCCCTGCTTTGCAATTGCATTCTCCCTGTAATTGAGATGTATTAAAATGACAATAACTGAGATTGCAACATGAAATTCAGTGTTCTTGTTAGAGTTTAATCCACAAAATACGAAGTGTCCAGCATCCAAAATGGCTTCACCTTCTACAAGACAACATTTCCTGTTGCTGATATAGTCTAGAATTTGACATAAATTCAATGATTTGTTCTCCATTTGGTCCTCACAGTAGTTGTCACTGATGGAAACTGAATCAGTTCAGGCACTGAACAAACACATGGTCAGTTCCTTACCTGTTTCGGCAGCAATCTTGGTTGAAAAACAGTGACCTCTGTCGGATTTCGCGCTTGCCAATTGTGCTAGAACCAAACTTGCTGCAGTTTTTGCAAACTTTTGAGAAATAAGTGCTATTTACATATGTAATACAATACTAATCATAAGAGATCAAACTAACCTATTTCAGCATAAGGTTTGAACTCCATGGGCTCAGATTCCGATGACTTCTCTGTCGTCAGCCTCTTTACTGAAATAAATATTAAAAAAATCTATAAATATTTCTTTTTACCAGTTAGAATTACTATATTAAAGTAAAACTTACCATTATAACTGTAGAAAGTTATATTTTCAACTGTTGTAATGTTAGGTAGAGCCAGAACAAAGCTTTGTGGATATAGGCCAGTTGTACTCCAGAAAGTATTGAGCTTCCTAAATTATATTTCATATTAATACCATGCATAATATTTTCTATATAGTCACAAAAAATTCCTATGAAATTTTATTAGTAAATTACGGCCAAGTTTTAGAAATGTAACATTTCAGAAGATAACACCTTAATATTGCTTTTGAACTTTTCTGTCTATATGGCATGAGGGTCATAGTCCTAATTCATTAATAAATACCATAAGTCAACATTCAGTATTCTTTGTGTACATTATTAATAAATCACTACTATTAATGTTTTATGACTCTGAATACAATAAAGAGAGTAACATTTATTATATTTGAATTTACTTGTTCATCCAGAAATGAGTGCTTTTAGTGGATGAATATAATTACCTATATCTATGTACAGAGAAAACCATTAAGCAAATAAACCACTGAAGTACACAGATGCATGATACAATATTAACTCTGAAAAATACATTTCCATATTGGAGAAGAAGATTCTTTCAATATTCTTTGTTGGGCCTTCACAGATGATGGAGCTCCTTGTTTCCTGCCAAAAAGATCCAGAATTGACCGGCAACCCAAGGCATCTGCAAGCTTACATGAATCTCATCAAACACATCTGGAATGTACTGGGTTGTGCAGTACAATGATGTTCAAGAAAACTCACTCCCATGGAGAACTTTTAGATTGTTTGTATGCTGATTGAGTCAACATAACAGAACTCGTTATTTCCGTGTCTTCCCAGATTAAGGCTTTGTAATTTTAATATGCATATAATGTATTTGTATCTTGTGGATTTTGTGAAATAAAAGACAGTGTCTGAAAATAAGGGTGTCTATTTACTTATGGATTGCCTGTACTTGTTCTGTGTTCACAGTGTAGATGGAATTATTGATATATTCAGAAGTAAATAAGACAATTTAAAATGAGTCATTGATATCAAATAGTATCATTTTTGATATAATCTTGTTAGTAAAAATACAAACCTATTCATTTACATGCCTTGCAAACAAGAAACTTTATTATTTATTGCTGTTTTCTATTTAATCTTTTTCTATAGAAAAGTATAAAGGTTTGATATGCATGCTTGAAACAGTAGTTCAACATAGAACAAGTTTGGAGAATCAAGTGGATAGACAATGTTTAGTATCTCTCAGCTTTGTGAGCCTATGAAATGACATAGACTCAAGTATTCTTAAAACACAATATTGCCAGCAGTCCCATTCTTTTAATCCTGAACTTTACATGTAATTTCCTTTATGTGACAGCCAATTTTTAGAAATAAGCTTCTGCAGTAATATTCACACCCAATGAAGGAAACTAATGGATAATACTAGGTCTAAAGCTAGTAATTTCTTTATTAAATGTTCTGTTAGTACTAAATATCTCATAGTTAATGCATTATATAGATTATTGAAAAAGATATTTTTTACCATAATTTGGTTGAGAAATTTATTGCTTTTATTATGCAAAAGTAACTTGGAGCTTCTTCCAAAACAGCAATTTTTCCAGTTTGCAGCAGAAACTTTGATCTACTCTTGTAAGAGAATGGATACTTATGAGTTTTCACCATTTTGGATTTGAGTATTGTTCTGTATTAACTCAAGACTGATGTATAAAAACAAAATTTATCACAAACTATGTGCTAATTCATAAATTTATTCAATTTGGTTTTGTAAATACATCATTTAAATTAAATCATTTTATATAAATTTAGGAAAAACTTGTCTAATAACTCATCACTTAAACAATATATAAACTGGCAAATAATCAAACAGGAAGAAAAGTTTAGCATTCCTTTATGGGCCAGTTAATTAATAATAAGAATGATTACTAATTCCCTATGGATGAGATGATATTGTTTGATGGAGTGATATCATATATAGGAGTCCTATCAATATTTAAATTGAAAATGAATGACCTCCACTCTGGCATCACTAAAAGATTAATTATAGTATTGGAGCCTCTAAATAATTAGTGTTATTTTCATTAATATTGTCTTTATCATTAGTTTGATATGAATTTTAGGTGGTCTGTTATCATCTGGGTCCCTCTGTGAATATAAATATTTAGTCTATTGTGCAAGGATATAAATTAAAAGGATTTTCTGCTCTGTACTACAATAAAAAATACTAAAGTATAGGTTGTAAATCTAAAAAGTAGCCTGATGATTCACATAGTGGTGAGGAAATTTCTTACAATGTCTTCACCATACGAAGCCTCCTGTTTTGGGAACAACTTCCTTAGGAAGGGTATATTCATGAATAAATTTCCTGGAGACTAACCTGTCAGTTCATCACCTATGCATTTTTCATGTATCATCATCCTAGTCCATTGTTTTAACAGTTGTAACTGCTAGAAATTGCTTTAACGAATTCTAAATCAACACAGGAATGCAAAGAAAAAGAAAAATTTGTACAGAGAATGGAAAGGCTTATATAGATAACTGCTAACTAGAATACAGTACCTACTCTACATGTTATCAAACTGTGTGATTGCACTGCATGCCAAGAGAAAATGGGTGCAAAACTTACACTATTTATACATTGATTATCAAGCTTAGCACACCAAAAACTTCTAGCACGGAGTAAAGATAAAACAAGAGCCAATAATGAATTTCGTAGCCATTTTGTTTGTCACTTGTTAAATCATTAACACTTAAATACATGGGAGTCAAAAACTTCCCAGAATTGTAGTAACTGTTTCTTATAGCACAGTAATGGTAGGACATACAGAAACACTTACTTTCAAAGTAGGATCCTTTGGTGCACACACTCACCCATTGACTCTGCCATTTGTCGGAAGCACCATTTGAAGGCTTCTTTTGGACTATTTGGAAGTTCAGCTATCATACTCGATCTGATGCCTTCCACAATTGCAAAATGTGTCCTTGAGGCCCATTTTTACCGTACAGAACAGCCAAAATTCCCCCACATAGAGATGGAGCAAGTACAGCTAAAGGAAGTCACTCATTGGCAAGGAGCTGCCACACAAGTGACCCAATGCATTATCACTATGTAGAAATCACCCTCATTGCCACTTGTGCCTCACTTGTGTAGAAATTGCCTCATTGCCACATGCATCTCACAATCAAGCAACAGCCAGTAACGCCATCCAGGTGGTACTAACTCACATTTCATATCACCCAGAACTCCCGAACATTTCAAAAGAAGCCTTCCAATGGTGCTTCCGACAACAGCAAGTGTGTGCATGCCAAAGGGTCCCACCTTGACGGAGATTATGTACATTTCCGTACGTCGTATTTGGGACATTCCAATTTTCAACGCGAGTGTTGAGTGTTGAAGTCAACAATTTGACGTCATCAATGACGTTCCAACTCGAGTACGAAGTGCTTAGTTCCCATAATTCTATTCTCAGCAAGATGGATTCCATTCAAATATCTTACCAATTACCCACAATTCATTGAAAAGTAGCAGTCAACACATCTGTTGAGTGCTGAGTGTGTTGAGTCAGCGCTGACAACAGCGTGTTTGTTTAATTTCCTCTTCTGAACAACTTCCCACCTCCACCAAGTTATGTCAACATTATTTTATATAACAGACTATTATTTCTTTTCAAATTATATCCTTTTATCGATCACTATTGAATTAATGAGTCACGCCAACTTCTTTATCTTTGACTTACCCGTCTATCATGTTATTTGCGGGGAAATTCTCGTGTTGTGAGCTCACCATAACGATTTGAGCGCCATTAGCGGACAAGGCGATGTCTTGCATTCTGACGACAACCAACTCTTGAGAAAACGGCCCGGCCCAACCCACCAAACCTTCCTTCTCTTCGTCTCTAGTTACCATGGCAACGATGAAAAACAAGGCTTCCAACGATCATACGCGCATCGTATTTACTGACCGATTATAGATTAAACGAGTGCGTAAATTGACGTGTCGCTTGCAATCTGTCCTCCTCCGTACTGTTTTACCAACTACGCATTATGAAGTGCGGTGTAACGTGAGTTTTATACGTGCGCGTAGATTTTTAAAGTTAATGTTTACATCGATTTTGCCATGGTTATTTCAATGTTGCCAAGTCATTTTGTAATGTAATTTTTTTTTTTTTTAATTTTAAAATAGTAGAAGGATTTTAATCCAATTTTATGTACTTTTTATTTTAATAATAATTGCAATAACCTGCGTATTAAACTTTATAATTTCATGTCTTAAAAAAATGAAACATTAAGTAACATTTAAGCCGATTAGTTATAATTTAGTTAATTGTAGTTATTATTTAACGATTTCATTATTAATTAACTCATTATCTTCATTAATTTTACGTGGAATTTTAGGAATTCAAATAAAAACAAGAAAAATAAATAAATAAAATCTATCTGGCAGTCCAAACAAATGCAATGACGTAACTTAACCCTACCGATCCCGATAGGCTAGAAAATAAAACGATTTAAACTAACCAATTGTTAAATGCAAAATCGACCAATGACGGAACGTATTAATCGAATTAGAATATTAATTAAGTTTAAATACACCAATAAGAAGTGGTAAGACATTTTAAAAGTCGTTTCCCGCGAAATTCATACGCCATGAGCTCGGGAAGGAATTCGAGGCCAGAAAGCGATGTTTGCAGGAAGAAAATTGTCAAAGGATCGCTTCAGAGGATGGACTTCAGCACAGAAAGGCTCATGATACCTTCAGGGAAGAGATTATCGGATAACGAAGGCAAGGGCACATCAGTCAAGAGGATAGTGGCACGTAAACAAAGGGAATTGCCATCGAGTAATACGCCATCTTCCCTCTTTATTATAGTTTTAAGCTTTATAAGTAAGAATATACAACACGTGGAGTCATTAAAAGGTTATCCAGAGTATTTTGGGAAGATCCTCTTTCAGGCTGCCATTCTCCTCAAGAAATTCACCATTTCTTACTACACTACCCCGCAGTCTAAGAGTATTAGTTACAATTTACAGCTCTTCATGTCTGCTTACAAAGAGCAAGTGCTATCCAGTCTGAGTATCTGCAACGGTCTCCTCACCATCAACGAGTATCTGATGCCTCTCATGCTGCTCACTCGGTTTGTCACCGAGCTGCAGCTGACCGGATGCCATTTGGGCGACAACCATGATCTCATCGATCACATAAAGCAGTTGAAAAGGTAGGTAATTATTTAAGTTACCAGTAGTCTATGATGCCAAAGATGTCTGAGCTTTTTGGTCTCTTTGACGCCAAACTTTGGTTTGTCTTTTTGCTTAATCATGTGCACATGAGCTACAGAACTAAGGATTATACACATGTGATTGTTTGCTTACAACAAGCATATCTTTACACAATCTATGTCCTACACAAACTGTGTTAGCAAAGGGTATGTATTATTATTGTAGCCTTGTACAGTAAAGGTCAATCAGTACATACAGATGCAAAATTAAGATTTTATTACAACTTTAAGTAAATTATATAATCAGTTAAACAAAAATACTACCCACTATTTACTGCACACACTTAACAATATATTTATCCAGTATAAAAAACAACAACTTAATAATAAGAACTTGCACATGATTCTGAATATATTGTACAGGCCTGCATTGAGCAATTGTTTAACATAATTTAATTGTATATCACATAAAAATTAATTTTATTTATGTATGTTGAATGGCTACTATGTATTTTAATTAGTTTGTGGCCTTTATGTCGTCATTAATGGGAGCAATTTAAACCGATGGAATTCAAAATATTTTTATTGCTGCAGGATGTTTGTTGACATTGAAGAAACCAAACTAGAAATGACCAGTTTCTCTGGTTTTCGCGTCAAATGCCGTACGTTACTGTGTCTGCCGGATTGTCTATAAAATTCCAGTTTGTGCTAGTGGGTGTTAAAGTATTCCATTTTAAAAATTATGCAATTTGACTGTATAATTAGTTTCTATAATTATGATTAAGTGTGTGAGAGTAGGTCACTTGTGAAATATTTTATGCTCCACTTTTCATTCTGCTTAATATACTGTATTAAAATTTATCAAAATGTTAATTAATAACCTGAGAAATTTAATTTTTGTTTATCCTTAAAGGGTGTTTTATCCAAAGACTAGTGAAGCACCTATCAAGAAATCAAAATTTATAATGGATGCATAATCTTTAATGAGTCCTAATCCTACTTAAATGCCATCACCTGTTTTCCTTACAAACTGCATGTAATATTAGAATTTAATTCTTTGTTATGGTTATTAAACAAATGAAAATATAATTGTAATTATTTAACCGAAGGATTCAGTGTTGATATTTAGTTTGGTTCTCTGAATGGCAATAGATGAGAATAGTAAAAAATGTTCTTGTTTAATATAAAAATTGTATAGTTTGTCATACAGAACAAGTGAAAAGAACAAATTCATTCTATTCAATTGATTCTCTATTATTGTATGGGTAGAATAAATTGAATACTTTGATTATGCCCTTTCATAATAGACCAAATGAGTTTTCCAGATTTGGCTTTGTCTTTTAAGTTGGCACAGATCATGATCATTCTTATTTTCACTCTATGCTCTATTTAAACAGGAATAAGTTATGTTGTGCTGGGTTTGCAATCTATTCTTCTCCTTGTTAACATTTCCTTGATGTCTAATAAGATATTTCATAGTTATTAAGAAATATATACAATAAAGTATTGATGAAAAAATTATGACTAGTACTCATACAAAATTCTAATTTTGTTGTCCAAACTTATACATTTTCTTCTTCCACTTCTATGCTTAGATTTAAACTTACATAAAATTGTCTGATAATGCATGTCTTGATAACATGATTTCCTATACACAGAATGTATCCCCATGTTGGACAGAAGTCCACTGTAATCTCTATTGCTACTTTTACTACTACGAAACTCACATTGGCCAAACTGTGGAACACATGCCACACAGCTCTTCTAAACCTTTGTTGCAGCTTTCATATATTTATACAATTTCTGTAAATGAGCAACTGGAAGACTGCCTGAAAGAGAAACAAGTTGTTGAGAGTGCAGAAGAAGCAAAAGAGGTATGTATGGATAGACAGGAATGGTGAAAGATTGTCATGTATGGGTGTAGTGCAAACATGCAAATCATGAAATCATGCAAATAGTTGTATAAGTGTTCTTATCACAACTGTTTGCATGTCCCAAATGCATGAGTTCAGCAGGTCACATAGTGAAAGTTTGGGCAAGCGTTCCTAGTATGCTGTCCTGTCCATATGATCTTCAGAGAATTGAAGATTGCAGTTTTTTGGGGGGGAATGGGAAAGCCACTTTTTTTTCTTGGCCACCCCTTTAGGGAATTACTGATAATATAGATAGATAGATGTAAAATGTCAAGACTCTCCACATACTGAATTAGCAACACAGCTGTCTATTATTGTTACAGAACAGATTTATTTAGATTTATCTTTTGACAGTATATAACTGTCTGCTTCAGGCAGTAGGCCTATTATAAGTTCAGTTTAATTCAGTGTTATATAATTTCTTTTTATAAATTTGATGCATACAAAAATAGTACATATATTTAAGCATAACCTGTAACTTGAATAAGCAACTTTGAACTAAGCGTATATTTGGATGAATCAAATTTTAAACGGTTAGTATCCTAACATTAGTAGGTATGTAAGAAAGGTTGTTTTAATACATATCTAAATGTATGCATTCTTAACCTAACAGTAATATTTATTGTAAATAGTGATATTTGTGTTACATATAGATTATATGAAAACACAGTTTTAGTACAGTTTCAGTAGAGAACATGGTTGTCTACTGTTACTGGCTTCTGTTATATCAAGGTTTGGCCAATGCTATTCTAAACTTCATCTAAATCCTCAATATTCTGTTAATTCCTGAAATATAACAGCATAATCATAGAAGCCTAAAGGTTCCTTCAGTTTGTTACCAGTATCTTAGATCTTCTCTAATTCCTATCCTTCAATGTTTTCTCACTTGTGTAAGTGTTCTTATCACAACTGTTTGCATGTCCCAAATGCATACTTTCCCACTATTCTATAAAATTTTTTATAACTAATCAGAACCCTTTAGTTTGCCATTACTTTTACTATCCTGTAATAACTATGTTATCCTGCAAATATGACCTGTTCAGCATGTCTCATGAAATTTTAGATCGTAAAGGCTAATATTTGCCTGTTTTGATGGTCCTAACATAGTCACAAACTCATTCTTATGAGAGAGGTTGTGGCTGAAGTTTTCATCTCTAAAACATGAACATCGAGTGCCATCATCTTGTAAGCCTAGAAGTTTGACAATGGTGTTTGGAACGTTGAGCATGATTCCAATGATGTTTCAAATGCCATTGTCAAACTTATAGACTTACAAGATGGCAGCGCTCAACATTCAACATTTACATTTTAGAGATGAAAACCTCAGCCGTAACTTCTCTGTTAATTATTAATCTTCTAGTTTCCCTCAACCCTCACTACTGCTTTCCTTTTGTAAACATTCAACTGTAGCTGCTATGCTAACATAAAGATGGTCATTTATTAGAGCTAAATCCCTTTAAAAATTAATAATTTAACTTATGACAAATAAATTTGAAGCTCTTTTACACTGTTTCATTTTTCAGTTTGAGGAGATTAGGATTAAAGGACAATTGTCTCACCAATGAAGCAATTCGTAAATTAAGTCTTCCATTTAGAGTCATGGGCAAGGGAACATCAAATCTGCAGGAGATCGATATTTCTTGTAAGTCTTGTCTTCAACTTCTACATATCTGTGTGCTCGTTCTATATATATTTTCTTATGTTTTCAGGTAATCCTTTGATAACCAAGAAAGCAGTCTTTTGGCTGTCACTGTTTATAAATTTAAAGATGATAAATATTGCCTGTACGGGAATTAATGTGAGTTTTCATTTTTTAATAAACTTACACTTTCGTTCTGCTTCTCAGCATGTCGTGTGAAATTTTAGATTAAATTAAATTGTCACAAATAGGATTTATGATTATTATTTTATTTTGATTAGTACATTAATATAATTTACTATAAATATAAGTTCTACTTCATAATCAATGTGGAATTGTTTTCCTTTGCATACATAAGTTTAATCTGCGGACTGTTAGGCTGTGTACACATTAAGCATATTGCATTGCGTTAAAAGAGCGTTAGCAGCGTACACACACCGCATTAGCTCAGCGTTTCATGACCGTTTAGAGGAGCGTGCGCACTGGCACAGTTTGGAAATGAACGTGAAAGTAATTGTGTTGTGTGTGCCTCCTCCATCGTCACTATAAAAGACAATGGCAGAGTCAAAGAGAATTTTGGGTGCACCCAATATTATGAGATAGACTGACGCATGGAATGTTTGTGACGTTGTATCCAAAACTAAGACAATGTGAACCCAAGTTTTTTAATTCTTTTAGAATATCTATAAAATCATTTGACAGTGACTGGTCTCTTTTAGATTTCATCAATAAATAGATCAGTATCGAAATGATCGTTCTCCATTTTGGCCAACGTGTGTCCACTCTACCCGAAAACGCGCGATCGAATGTACAATAACATGGCAGCACATGTATCTCAAAACGCACGGCTGATGCCCGCGAAACGCGCATTTTAACAAAAATCTATCAAAGTGCATTTGAATGTGTATATCTATGCAGAACTCTTGGTTCTTTAAAACGCGTGTTTTGGTAACGCGCATTTAAAAACACCTAATGTGTACACAGCCTTTGTGGTTTCCTGACTGACAAAGTCACTTGTCCAAAATGCATCTCTCTGCTCTTTAGAAAAATGATGCAAATTTTCTTAATACTTTGTCCAATCAGGAATCTAATTTGCAGGATAATCCTGTAAATATCTCCACAGGATAAGTGGACGGGCATAGATGGTCTGTGGTTCATCTGTGACTTGGTTTAATTATGATAACATAATTTGTCATCCAATTATTTGTGTGTATACTCATGTCAATTAAATTTCAGGAGGAAAACTTGAAATTAATAAGAGATAAATATGGATTTACCAAGATGCACGTTATTTTCAATCCCATAAAGACTGTTGGCTGGGCCGACAGTCTAATATCACACTGGATCGAGGAGACGCAGAAGTCCCCGAGAAGCCGAGAAGATCCGCCAATGCTGAGTGGTTTTTGTGAGTATTTTTTTAAAGTCAAATTAAATATTGTCATTTATTTAAACTAATTGTGAGAATTTCTATAGTTTCGGTTAGGAGACGGCCTTCTAGTTTTCCATACTGTTCTCACCATACCTCCGATCATGCCAAGCAACTTGTCATTGTTCGGCCTGGACCGTTTTAGGTGCTGGTCGGAGAAGAAGAAAACCGTGGCCAAAACAATACGGGTATCCGCTGTACGTGAAAAGAAACTCCAAACGTCGTCTTCAATAAAATTTACCTTATGTAATTTTTAAGCTTCCTGCAACGCAGAGCTTTCTGCGTGATATTTTAGTCACAGTATTTTAATTTTTATCCATTACCTGTTTCGGAAATCGGGCTTCCGGGCTTTGCGTTTACTGCAAATTCTACATTTCTGACAAGTTAAAAGTAATGTACAGTTGAACGTTGTCATAAAGTACAAATAGCAATAAACAAATAAACAATCTATTAATCAATGTAAGTCAAATAAATAAAAGTATTTTTTAGAAAAGTGTATTATCAAATTTATTAAACAATTGTTAATTATAAGAGAAAGAATACACAGCTAAGGATAATATATTTGTGCTAGCGATTAATTTACTTTCTTGCTTTCTTCATCGCTGATATGGATGCATGGTACTTGCAGACTTGATGTTTGTTTTAATTGCACTTGGTGCCTTGGCCGTTGAGGCTGAAAAAAATGGAATAAATTTACTTTTAGTAAATGATATTCTAAAATTCTATAAATTTTCTGTAAAAATTTCAGAATAATGTACAAATTCAATGTAAAAATATATATTTTGTAGTCGTTTAAATCTGGTGATATTCTACAATTTTTTACTTAAGTTTTCTCCCTGCTTTGTTTAATATTTCAGGATGGGGTAAACATTGTGTTTGGGGATGTCTTTTTTGGATTCAGGAAAAACATTGAAATTTGCAAAGAACCTAGAGTTCAAATTTAACATGATTACAATACTTTTCCGGCTGTTGTAACACGACATAAGAAAGTAACAAATCGCCAATATGTGATGACAGTAAGATTATTAATAGTGGTAAACAGATTGATAAAGGATTGCACAAAACATGGCTGTTTGCTACTGAACCAGCAGTGATTCTACTGATTCCACAATTTGCAGATTAAAGCAGTATCCTGGGATAGCAAAAACCTCTTAAACAATTGCAAATTAACTAACCTTGACAATTACAAGTTAAGAGTGCCCTCTATAAATCAACTAGGGCACAACCTTGAATAGGTTTAACCAATCATTTAATATATTTTTAAAAATGAGACGGCAATATTCCTGTTATAAATTTGAATGATCCAACAATGTTATATGACTCTTCACTTATTCTAGTCTCAAGCACAATGTTCAGAACTTTTATGCGCCTGCTTGGTGAGCATAAATTGTCATAAATGAACACTAGTATATGAGAGTATTTTTAAAAACGGCATCTTGTAAAAGAAACTATAATTTATCATATGTTAGCAGTATGTTGCACTTCGCTTAAACAAACACTGTTATACCATGCCTACCAATCTTGAATGGGTTAAATCTAGAGTTTGCAAGAAATAGGATTACTCAACTTTGTGAATGCCAAACAGATTCAGAACTCTAAACCACCACTCTTCTTGAGTGAGAGTTAACTCTCGCTCAAGAAGAGTGGTGGTTTAGAGTTAAAATCGACAGTTGATGCTTGTATAATAGCACACTCAATTTCAAATGGTGATCTACAATAGTGAAGATGAGGAAATGATTGAAATACTTTCAAGTTTTCTGTCAAATATTGTAATGTCATTAGTTCTTTACAGGAAAAAATTAATGGTGAGAGAAGTCATTTGTAACATTTAGATATAACAAAATTCTTCATCATAATCAATATATGACTATGTTCATCATTTGAAGTCATTTAACATTCCAGAGTTTTGTTGAACACTGCTTTAGAGGAGTTTGAACTGCATGCACAGTGAAAAATTGTGCTCACTGTGTAAATGCCATTTGTTCTTTTTTGCTTACAAAGTCAAAGAAGGTTTTAAGTTCCTTTTTCATCTCAAATGTCAATGTCAAAAAGCATGAAAGCAATATATGTGGGGCAGATCCAGTGGCCATGTTTAAGATGCAGAAGATGATGGTGTGCACCATTATTAAGAAAATGCAAATAATAAAAGTAGATGATGTGGCTACAGCAATGGTGAATAGGAGCATCAACATGTTCAACGACTTTTCTGGATGTTCCTAAAGTAAGCCATAATGTTACCAATACCCAACTACATTGGAAAGATTCTTCTCTGTAGAAAAAAGGAAAAGTGAGCCTAAATCCTTTATAAGTAGTGCTAAGGGATAGATGAGAGAGAGAATACCAGAAGTACAGTTATTTGGTGTGTTTATGGAAAGCAACTCCCCTTCCAAACAATAACCTTTCTTTCCTCTCCACCAGACATGTTGCATCACCACTCATCACTATGGTACAGTAATACAATTTTTTAGTTATACAGTATTTTATTTAATGTTTAGGATATTTAATTGTGTTATTTTCACCTTAAATTATGTGCGTTTGCAGTTTAAATTTATCAAAATAGGTATTATTAAGGGGCTGGGAATGGATTAATTCACTTTCCATTATTTCTAATGAAGAAAACCAATTCAAAGTTGGAACAAATTATGAGGAACCACTGTATCTAAAGTTAGTAGAACTAGAAAGCAATAATCATGAAAACCAATTTTTTCTTACTTGGTCTTATTTGTTGTTGTGGAGTCGGCTGGGGATTTGTGGGCTGACCTTTCGGTGATCCTGTCGCGGGTTTCAATCCCTTTCCCAGACTGATGGCACTAATTAAGGCATTCGTGTCCGTTAAAGAAGATGTTTGGGTGGCGCTGGCTCGTTGACCTGTTAAATTTGATAGAAGTTATTAATTTTATTATTTCATTTAAAAAATAATATTCACACAGACCTGATTCTGTTTCCCAGTCCTCTCTGTTGGTTTTTATGAAGTCTATGATATTATTAGCTATTTTGTTCATACTTGCTATTTGTTTCTAGTAAAAAGAAAATGATGGTATTAATAATTAATGTCAGCAGCAGCAAATGGTTGTAGATAAAATATATCAAGAATAAAGTCAGTCGACAAAGATTCTAACGAATACATGATTTGTTAGAATTAGAGTACATAATTACCTGTGCGGCATCCACAGACATCTGATTCAGTTTACTCATCAGCTGAAGCTCTCTGTTTTCGATTTCTGGATCAGTCTTCGTACGCAGATAATCTGGGACAACTTCATGATTGAATGCCTGAACTCTATTCTCTGTCAGACGCTGTTTAGAAATGTTTCTAAATTAATTTCAAATGAAAACTTCAATAAAATTTTGCAAATTTCTTTTCCAAATAAGCTTCTTACATATATATTGAAAGTCAAGTGAACTGTTTAGTTACAGTACTGCAAAATTTAAATTTTTTTGTTAAAAGAGGGAAGTATTATATAAATCAAATTTGTTAGGTTTTGAGTAGAATATCTGACCAGCAGCAGCAATTACCCAATAGATGCACCATGTGCATGCTTAGGTCCATTTTGTCTCAAGGGGCTTCAAAAATTGCATAGAAAAAGAAAATTTGGCTCTAGAAATTTATTTTTAAATTGTGATAACATTATAAATCTATTTAGATTTAAAAGCATGAAAGCTAACATAACATTTAATTTGTCTAGTCAGTATTACAAAAGTTTTTCTTTATTTATAATTATTTATTATTTAAAGGTTTTATTGTTTTTTATATTAAAAACACATTTATATAAAGGTCCTTATAACAAAATTGCACCTAGAGCCTCACTAGCCCATACTACTAACCATGCTTGTATCTTGTGAGCCTTTAGTAGTAGTACTGGAAGTAGATCTTGATTTTTTTTTTCATTTTTAAATTTTACCATCATTTTTGAGGTCCTCAAACTGACTGGCTAGTTTTGGGAGGGCTATATCTTGCAGAGTTATACATACACCATTGGTTCCATTGACTTTTTTACTCCCATGGGCATGATCTACAACTCTGATAAGATTCAAACAGCCTCATTCAAAAAAAATGCATCCATATCAGTAAGAAGTGAACTCTTAATAAGGGATTTGCCACCCCTCAGAGTTAACCATAACTGCATATGCATATGCAACCCCACGAAATATTACTCTCCAAAGACCTTTCTTTTTACCATGAACTAGTATACTGTCTATTCTCCACATTCTGAGTCAATCTGCACGTAGTCGTGCACTTTGGTGTTCACTTTCGCTTGCACCTTAGTCCCTACATGTGCAAGCAACTCCCCTAAAACTATATAACATCAAGTACTCCACAAACAGTCAAGTACGCTACTGGAAACCAACATGTCTCTCAACTGCATGCAACCCAAAAGTAGGCCATTTTTGGGAGCTGTATCTCACCAAGGGTCACACGTAGAGGTATGATTTCTTGTACGGGTACAATCTATAGCTCTGAAAATCTGAAAAAGTCCCGACGACCGTCTCATTCTGAGGTGTAACTGTATCTTTGTATTGCTGTGAATTGTTCTGCCTTTCCCATAGTTTCAATTAGATGTGTGTTAACTAGCAACAACTTACATTGGATCACTGAGTTGTTTTAATGTAATTATTATTATTGAATCAGCCTGTTATATAAATACAAAGGTGATATTTAAGGCTTTATACGTACCGCAAGTTCATCATCACGTTCAGGTGACAAATGAATAGGAAGCAAGACACGGTTCCTGAGTGGAGGAGTTTTATCATTTTTTAATACTTTTAAGAGAGTATTCACTTGACCAGACAATAAAGCGAAGCTATCCAGTACCGAAGGCCTAAAATTTATAAATTTTTAATATATTTTCGTATTAATAATAACTTAAGAAACGTCAATCCATCTTACCAGCTGAGAGTTTCGTATTCGGCCTCGAGTTTTATTAAAAAGGCTGACAGAGAAGTCTTTAAATCTTGAGTTCGGCTAATGAGAGCATCGACTGCTGCATCTAAAGCTTTTTCCTCTTTCTGTAAAAATAAATTTAGTTAAATTTTTTGTAAAAAACATCAAAAAAACGTGAATCTTATACTAACCTCCATCTTGGAACTTTATGCTACCTGGTGAGTATATTGTCGAAGACATTTCTCAATTTTTTTTTTTTTAGTCAAAATTTAGCACGTTATAAATATTTTTTATTGCAAATAATTTAATGTGTTAAATTATAAAATTATTTCATGTTGTAGATAAAATGTAAATTATATTCGAAAATATAGAGTACACGTTGCCAGTTCCTCGACAATTGAAGTACAGTGATACGTTTGTAAAATTTTTTGAATTTTGTTTTTAAACATTTTAAACATTGATAATATTTTCATTTTTAGTAAATTTATAGTAATACTAGCTGCAAGGACCCGCTTCGCTGGGTTTTTAAAAAGTAACGATAGTGAAGATTAAGAAAATAACATTATAGCCAATCTTACTCGTTTTCACAGAATGCAAGAATTAGGTCCCCCGTTTCTGATTAGAGATCTGGTCCCGATTCTATTTCTGAACGTCTCTTGTTCACGTCAAGTCAAACGAACTATTTTCAACGTTTCTGGAACGTTTACAATCGTTCTATAATCGAACCAATATTCGAATTTTATGTTCGAATTTAATTCGAACAAATTCGAACAAAACATTCGAAATAGAAAGCCACTTTCAACCACTTTCAGCCTCATATCTCCCGCACCCTTATAGCTATCGAGACGCAACCACCCCTATGCACGAATGGAGATTTGGGGCTACCACCACATACAAACACCATTCACGTGCGATGTGTAGTTTTGGCGGAAAAGTGAAATATAGGAACATACATGTCCATTTTTATATATAGATATAGATATAGATAGATATAGATTATAATAATTAATAAAGCAGATTTTATTGACAGTAATTAACTTTTTTATAGCTTTGCACAAACTTCATTTTAATTAATTAATTGAAAATGCGTCTAGAGTCAAATTTTGCCACCATGCAGCACTGCTAGCAAGTCAGGCCTAGAGAGACTTTAATGAAAGAGTGGTCATACAGATTCTTTACTCTGTGATACAGATAAGCGTCGCCATGTTTTTCCAAACTGCTTATTTAGCCGCAGCCACATAGTTAGTTGGGGAAATGGAAAATGCAACTTGAAACTTTTTGCCAGAATAGTTACACAACTCATTACTGATTTTATTATTTTCTACTGTGCATATTATAAATTAACTGTCTATAAATACATGAAATACATATGGGGGGGCGCTTCAGACCTTCGACCAAGATGGCGCAAATTGCGTTGGAGTATCTTTGGTGTGCCAAAAAATTAAATCAATTGTTAACTTGGTGGTTATTGTTGAACTGTTTATGGTTAGTAATTAGATTAAAATTAATAATGGCAGGAGTAGAACAAAATCCAGGGCCGTTATCTCATTCACCGACAAAGAGAGGACGACCTCCATTGACACGAAGTTCAAGTGCCGTTAAGGTGTCCAAGGATGCATGTGTAGATACAATGCTCCGTCGTCAACCAACTACACTTAAGGAGACGGAAAAGCTGAGGAAAATAGCTGAAATAGAGAGGGAGAAGGATGAAGAAACAAGGTTAGAAAATTTTTCCGAATTGGTAGAGACAGAAGACAGTTCGTCATGTACTACTCTACAACAACTTTCAAAGTTGATACAAGACTCTCATAACTCTATCACAGTACAAATATTGGACCTTAAAGCCGAAATAAATTTAATTCACCAGGAAATAAGCGAATTTAAAGCTAAACTTGGTACGTTAGAGCATAATTTAAACCTATTGGAAACAAAAGTGCCAGACTTAGATAGAAAAATAGAAGCCCAACAATACTTGGTAAATACCATTTTAAATATAACTAACCAATGTAATCTAATGTTATTTGGATTAGCGATAACAGAAAATACAAACTTGAAAGAATGTCTTACACAATTATTCCGAGAGAATATTAAGATAACAGAATTCAAAAAAGAGGAAATTCTGGACATTCACATAATAAAAAAAGAAGATCCATCAATATTGAAAGTTACACTGAACAAGGTCCAGAGAAAAAATCAAATACTTTCAAATTTTTATAAAAATAAAGAAGTATCCTTAGAAGAGCCATTTAAAAATATACGTATGTCATCCGACCTGACACAGGAATCCAGAAACCGTAGAGCAAAAATCCTCCCATACTATAAAGAAGTCAAGAAAAAAGGTGAACAGATATTTCTTAGAAATGACTATCTAATATATAAGAATAAGCAAATAACATATAGTTTCATAAATAATTGTTTAGTTGATACTAAAACTTTTTTAGAGTTAACTATCAATATTTAAGCTCCTCTAATAATAATGGTATTAAGATGTTGAGTAATCTAAATAGAGAACCTGACAAAGTTAATATAGAGGAATTTAAAGATTCGGATATTAGAATTTTATCTTGGAACGTTCAAGGACTTAGAAATAAGTTTTCCGCCTGCTATTTTGATAAAATCTTAACGAAGTATGATATTATAGGATTGGAGGAAACGTGGGTCAATAAACTAAATACAAATGAGGAATATCTTCTCCAGGCCTTTGAATATTTACAAGTTCCAGCAGAAAAAAATCTAGGTGTAGGTCGACCAAAAGGAGGAATAATGTTAATAATGAAAAAATCTCTGGGTGAAATGATTTATAGTTTTTCAACAACTTACTTTATATTCTCATTAATTAAATTGGAGTCTCCTAAATTTAATAATCAATCAGATAATATTCTGGCAATAATAGTAAGTTATTTTCCACCTTATCAAACGCTACAAAATCTATATCAAGAAATGGAAAAGGTTATAATGGATTGGATGCATTTTACCTCTTGTTGGATAATCATGGGTGATTTTAATGCAAGAATTGGTAACTATAATGATTCCTATTATAAGGGTAATAATCAAACAATTTATAACTTAAGAAATAGTCATGACTCTGGTAGTAATCCTAAAGGGAATCTATTATTAAATTTCGTTAAAAATTATGATTTATACATTCTTAATGGTCGTACAAAAGAAGACTATCCCGGTAGGCATACTTTTATGTCATCAAGAGGAGCATCGGTAATTGATTACATAATGTGCTCTGAAGCCATACTAGATTATTGTGAAGAATTTAAAGTATTAGACCACGACCTATCTGACCATTTCCCTGTACACTTGATTATTAGAGATGATTCAATCAAATCAAAATATGAAAAGGCAAGAATTAAAGAGAAAGAGCAGGTTGCGAAAGACAGATTTAAATTAAGAAAGTTTGAAACTGAAATAGGAGGAAGAATCAAGTTAATTGAAAAAATGGAGACTAATGAACTATATGATAGTTTAATAAAAATATTTAATGAATATAAGATAGAACCAAATCATTATAAGAATAGATATTCAAATAAAATAAAATCCAAATTTAAGCAGGATTGGTTTGATATGGAATGCTACAGAGCAAAGAGAAGAAAGGAAACTAAATTAACAACTTTCCGCAGGTTTAGAACAAGAGATCAATTAATTGATTATATAAATACCAAGATGAGTTATATAAATCTTATTAAAGCGAAGAAAAAGAAATACTTCAATTTAATTAATCAAAAACTATTGACTGACAGAAGCAACAAATTTTTTTGGTTGACTGTGAAAAACTACCGTTTGAGGAAAGGTTATGAAAAACAAGATACTATTGGGTTTGATAAATGGATCAAGTTTTTTGGAAAAAGACAATTAACTAATATTAATTTTTATACAGATCAAGAACAGATAGGTTTGGACAGGGAGGAGAGGATAATAAATATACCAATTCAGGCCTCAGAAATGATAAAAACTATTAACAAACTAAAAGAAACCACGGCCACAGGTCCTGACTCAATTCCCAATTGTTTATTAAAAAGACTACCACCTGAAGCAATTGACTTAATAGCGCTTAGCTTTAATTACATGTATGAAAATAATAAATATCCAGATTCATGGAAGTATGCTGAACGCATACTTTAAAATGATATATAAAAAAGGAGACCGCACAGATCCAAGTAATTATAGACCCATTGCAATACTATCAACTTTAAGGAAGGTTTTTACAGCTATTCTCGCAAAAAGATTTAATCAATGGCTAGAAGAAAAACAGTTGACGTCCGACACTCAATTTGCTTTCGCTAAAAACGGTGGGACAGAAATAGCCATTTTTATATTGGTATCAATTATTCAAATTCAGTTATCTAGGAAAAGGCATAAAGTTTACGCTGCTTTTTTAGATCTGGAGAAGGCCTTTGACTCAGTTTCAATAGAATTAATAAGTGAAAAACTAGGAAAAAATGGAGCAGATAGCTTATTCATAAATGCCATAAAATTTTTATTTGGTCATTATCATGTTATTATAAAATCTGGCAAAACTGTCTTCTCCCCCATAGATATTTATGGGGCTCTGTTACAAGGTGACCCACTATCGCCATATTTGTTTAACTTTTTCATATTCGATATAAACAAACAATTTGATAAAGTAGAGGATGGAATAAGAATTGGAACTTGTGTAATCCACTCAATTCAATATGCTGATGATATTGTTTTACTTTCAAATACAAAAATTGGTCTACAGAGAAAAATTAATTTAATGCAGAAGTACTTTACACATCTTGCGATGAAAATCAACCCAAGCAAAACTTATATTCAAATTTTCAGGAGAGGAGGAAGACTGGCGAAACAAGACCATAATTTTTACCTTTTAAACGAGAAATTGAAGCTTACAGAGGAGACCTCTTACTTGGGGCTTAATATAACTTCAACTTTATCTTTCGAAGCCCACTTTAAAAATATGAGAAATAAAGCTAATAAACTAATTAATAACCTTATATATCTATTGGTTAAAATAAAAATTAGTTCAATTCAAAAACAAATGCAACTTTTTTCGGCAATAGTGATGAACTCGATATGTTATGCTTTCCCAATATGGGGAATTGAATGGATTACTCGATTTGAAATAATACAATTACAATATATAAGGAAAATATATGGGATAGATCGAACAGTCCCTGGATACGCTATACGACATGACACAAACCGACTACAATTGGAGCCATATTTGGTATCAAGAATACAAAAATTTTATAAAAGAATGATTAACAGTGATCATCCTTGGATTAAGACCATATTAAATAATCTGAAAAGTCTAACAGAAACAAAGAAAAATTATATCAACAATTGGTTCACTAAATATAGTCAAATGCTGGCTAAATATGGAATTTCTCCTATTTTATTTGGAAATACAGAAGAAGACTGGCAATTTGGTAACCATACGTTAATAGAAAATATGTTTAACAATTCTATTCATCAAGAAATACTTAAATTACAGAGTTCAAAATTCCATCCCTGGTATATGGAAAATTTAAACTTTCCTCCTTCAAACGAATACATCAATTTTCATCTACCGTTTATAATCAAAAAATTTTATATGCAGCTCCGACTAAANCACGAATGGAGATTTGGGGCTACCACCACATACAAACACCATTCACGTGCGATGTGTAGTTTTGGCGGAAAAGTGAAATATAGGAACATACATGTCCATTTTTATATATAGATATAGATATAGATAGATATAGATTATAATAATTAATAAAGCAGATTTTATTGACAGTAATTAACTTTTTTATAGCTTTGCACAAACTTCATTTTAATTAATTAATTGAAAATGCGTCTAGAGTCAAATTTTGCCACCATGCAGCACTGCTAGCAAGTCAGGCCTAGAGAGACTTTAATGAAAGAGTGGTCATACAGATTCTTTACTCTGTGATACAGATAAGCGTCGCCATGTTTTTCCAAACTGCTTATTTAGCCGCAGCCACATAGTTAGTTGGGGAAATGGAAAATGCAACTTGAAACTTTTTGCCAGAATAGTTACACAACTCATTACTGATTTTATTATTTTCTACTGTGCATATTATAAATTAACTGTCTATAAATACATGAAATACATTCGGGGGGGCGCTTCAGACCTTCGACCAAGATGGCGCAAATTGCGTTGGAGTATCTTTGGTCTGTCAAAAAATTAAATCAATTGTTAACTTGGTGGTTATTGTTGAACTGTTTATGGTTAGTAATTAGATTAAAATTAATAATGGCAGGAGTAGAACAAAATCCAGGGCCGTTATCTCATTCACCGACAAGGAGAGGACGACCTCCAATGACACGAAGTTCAAGTGCCGTTAAGGTGTCCAAAGATGTATGTATAGATACAATGCTCCATCGTCAACCAACTATACTTAAGGAGACGGAAAAGCTGAGGAAAATAACTGAAATAGAGAGGGAGAAGGATGAAGAAACAAGGTTAGAAAATTTTTTTGAATTGGTAGAGACAGAAGACAGTTCGTCATGTACTACTCTACAACAACTTTCAAAGTTGATACAAGATTCTCATAACTCTATCACAGCACAAATATTAGATCTTAAAGCCGAAATAAATTTAATTCACCAGGAAATAAGCGAATTTAAAGCTAAACTTGGTATGTTAGAGCAAAATTTTAACCTATTGGAAACAAAAGTGCCAGACTTAGATAGAAAAATAGAAGCCCAACAATACTTGGTAAATACCATTTTAAATATAACTAATCAATGTAATCTAATGTTATTTGGATTAGCGATAACAGAAAATACAAACTTGAAAGAATGTCTTACACAATTATTCCGAGAGAATATTAAGATAACAGAATTCAAAAAAGAGGAAATTCTGGACATTCACATAATAAAAAAAGAAGATCCATCAATATTGAAAGTTACACTGAACAAGGTCCAGAGAAAAAATCAAATACTTTCAAATTTTTATAAAAATAAAGAAGTATCCTTAGAAGAGCCATTTAAAAATATACGTATGTCATCCGACCTGACACAGGAATCCAGAAACCGTAGAGCAAAAATCCTCCCATACTATAAAGAAGTCAAGAAAAAAGGTGAACAGATATTTCTTAGAAATGACTATCTAATATATAAGAATAAGCAAATAACATATAGTTTCGTAAATAATTGTTTAGTTGATACTAAAACTTTTTTAGAGTTAACTATCAATATTAAAGCTCCTCTAATAATAATGGTATTAAGATGTTGAGTAATCTAAATAGAGAAACTGACAAAGTTAATATAGAGGAATTTAAAGATTCGGATATTAGAATTTTATCTTGGAACGTACAAGGTCTTAGAAATAAGTTTCCCCCCTGCTATTTTGATAAAATCTTAACGAAGTATGATATTATAGGATTGGAGGAAACGTGGGTCAATAAACTAAATACAAATGAGGAATATCTTCTCCAGGCCTTTGAATATTTACAAGTTCCAGCAGAAAAAAATATAGGTGTAGGTCGACCAAAAGGAGGAATAATGTTAATAATAAAAAAATCTCTGGGTGAAATGATTTATAGTTTTTCAACAACTTACTTTATATTCTCATTAATTAAATTGGAGTCTCCTAAATTTAATAATCAATCAGATAATATTTTGGCAATAATAGTAAGTTATTTTCCACCTTACCAAACATTACAAAATCTATATCAAGAAATGGAGAAGGTTTTGATGGATTGGATGCATTTTACCTCTTATTGGATAATCATGGGTGATTTTAATGCAAGAATTGGTAACAATAATGACTCCTATTATAAGGGTAATAATCAAACAATTTATAACTTAAGAAATAGTCATGACACTGGTAGTAATCCTAAAGGGAATCTATTATTAAATTTTGTTAAAAATTATGATTTATACATTCTTAATGGTCGTACAAAAGAAGACTATCCCGGTAGGCATACTTTTATGTCATCAAGAGGAGCATCGGTAATTGATTACATAATGTGCTCTGAAGCCATACTAGATTATTGTGAAGAATTTAAAGTATTAGACCACGACCTATCTGACCATTTCCCTGTACACTTGATTATTAGAGATGATTCAATCAAATCAAAATATGAAAAGGCAAGAATTAAAGAGAAAGAGCAGGTTGCGAGAGACAGATTCAAATTAAGAAAGTTTGAAACTGAAATAGGAGGAAGAATTAAGTTAATTGAAAAAATGGAGACTAATGAACTATATGATAGTTTAATAAAAATATTTAATGAATATAAGATAGAACCAAATCATCATAAGAATAGATATTTAGATAAAATAAAATCCAAATTTAAGCAAGACTGGTTTGATATGGAATGCTACAGAGCAAAGAGAAGAAAGGAAACTAAATTAGCAACTTTTCGCAGGTTTAGAACAAGAGATCAATTAATTGAATATATAAATACCAAGAAGAGCTATATAAATCTTATTAAAGCGAAGAAAAAGAAATACTTCAATTTAATCAATCAAAAACTATTGACTGACAAAAGCAACAAATTTTTTTGGTTGACTGTGAAAAAATACCGTTTGAGGAAAGGTAACGAAAAACAAGACCCTATTGGATTTGATAAATGGATCAAGTTTTTTGGAAAAAGACAATTAACTAATATTAATTTTTACCCAGATCAAGAACAGATAGGTTTGTACAGGGAGGAGAGGATAATAAATATACCAATTCTGGCCTCAGAAATAATAAAAACTATTAACAAACTAAAAGAAACCACGGCCACAGGTCCTGACTCAATTCCCAATTGTTTATTAAAAAGACTACCACCTGAAGCAATTGACTTAATAGCGCTTAGCTTTAATTACATGTATGAAAATAATAAATATCCAGATTCATGGCGTTCAGCATACTTTAGAATGATATATAAAAAAGGAGACTGCACAGACCCAAGCAATTATAGACCCATTGCAATACTATCAACTTTAAGGAAGGTTTTTACAGCTATTCTCGCAAAAAGATTTAATCAATGGCTAGAAGAAAAACAGTTGACGTCCGATACTCAATTTGCTTTCGCTAAAAACGGTGGTACAGAAATAGCCATTTTTATATTGGTATCAATTATTCAAATTCAGTTATCTAGGAAAAGGCATAAAGTTTACGCTGCTTTTTTAGATCTGGAGAAGGC